AAATCACGTTCCTTACCAAGCACTGGGAGCTTGGCCATTTGGGAACTGACACGATGTCTGCTCATTTCAAAGCACTGTAAATCCACCAGGTACTGAAGGGCTGAGTTCTGCTGGGCAGAGCAGCTCTTCATCCACTACCAGAAATACCAGCAAATCAACTCCTGCTGAAAGGAGATGAGGGGAGAGTGGCTTTTTCACAAAGAAGTTCATCCTCTATGTCCATGTGCTTCTTGTTCTAGTCACCTTGTCAATAGCAAATGAACACTTTTAAAAGGAAGGGTACTATATAGTATATGTATAGAATAATACATTTGTATACTAGACTTTGTACACTACTTTGCAGTATACAAAGCCTTTTACATCTCAACACCAAAACAGTCCAACTATTTTTGTGTGGTCAAGAACCAACGTGTTTACTGCTCCTTTGTCCCTGTTAAACCTTGCTGCTTTTGTTAAACCCTGGTTTTTGCTCAGTTTGGGTAAACAGCTGCCGATGGCGCTTTTGAAAATGAGTATTTTTATGCAGTGTTCCCAATGCTCCTTAATGGCTGAGTACTTGAGATCAACTGATCTACAGGCGGATCTGATCCACCTGTGCTGAGACCCCAAACACACACTGCAAACAGGAGCTCGGGGATCATCCTCTCCCCAGCATCACCTGCCGAGCCATAGCGGGCAGGACCTACCAGGCCGGCTCTCTCTGGGCAGGCTTGGACCAGCCGAACACCTGGAAAAGTCACCTGGACGCTGGGAAACGGGAAAATAAACCCTGCAGCACCTGCTGTGGGTGACCCTGCGCGCAGGGCTCGGGCTGTCCGCCTCCCCCGGGCGCTGCCGGGAGCGCGGCCGTGAGGGGCCCGGCCCCACCGGGGCACGGCCGCAGCCGACCGGGCAGAGCTTCCCTGGCCAGCCCCAAGCGTTTCGCGGCGTCTCGGCCGCCCGTGGCCTCCCCGAGCCGCCTCCTCCCTCTTACCCGCGGCGGCTCTTCCTCCTCCCGCGGCCGCCATCACTTCCTGCGGGGCGGCGCGGGCAGCCCTGGGGGCGGGCCGGGCCCGGCATGGGGCTGAGGGGACAGAGGAGGGCGGAAGGCGGGGAGCAGCAGGGACCGGGGCCGGAGAGGCGAGGGGAGCCTGGCGAGGCCGGCTTGGGCTCAGAGAGTGCCCTTAGGCTCAGGGAATGCCCACAGGCTCGGGCAATGCCCACAAGCTCAGGGAATGCCCTCAGGCTCGGGCAATGCCCACAGGCTCGGGCAATGTCCACAGGAATGCCCTCAGGCTCGGGCAATGCCCACAGGCTCGGGCAATGTCCACAGGAATGCCCTCAGGCTCGGGCAATGCCCTCAGGCTCGGGCAGTGCCCTCAGCCCCCGCCATCGAGGCACGGCCTTGGGAAAGGGCAGGCCCACGCTGCATCTGAGCTCAAGAAACTCCGACGAAAATCTCAAATTATTTCTTTTAAAGGCACGGAATGACAAACCATAAACCTAGCGCCAGTTTGTGTTAATGCGGGTGGCATGAGGCAGAAGGTTTATGAGGGGAAAATAACTGGGTTGCATGTGCCCTGCTAAGTCCTTTCTCCCTGTTATAAACAAAAAATTAAATTTAAAAACCTGTCCATACACAGCCATTACTTTTGCTAATACTGCAAGAAGACCAGAACAGCCACTCAGCAGCTTGGCTATATTCAACTCATATTCAGTTGCAATTTTCCCCATAAAAATAGGTATATACCAATGGATTCAATTGCTGAAGAACTAACATAAATAATCAAACAACATAAAATGCATGATAATTTCTATCCAAAACCAGACCCTGGCACAGCTTGCCCAGATCTGTGGCTGCCCCATCCTTGGAAGCCAGGTTGGATGGGGTTTGGAGCACCTGGGATGGTGGAAGGTGTCTGCCAAGAAAACCCTGAGTGAAACTACCATTATATATTTTTAAATTTACCATTTCTATGGATTTTGTTGTAGAAGAGGCCTCTTTCCACAGGGAACAGTGAGCTTTACACTGAAATGTTTGTGTCCTCTCTTTCTGTGACACCGTTTTCTATCTACATAAAGACCAGCCTCAGTATTTCCTGAGGACCATTCATTTTTATTAGAATGGAAAAGAAATATGGAGTTTTAGATCCTGAAAATTCTATTTAAAGTCCCATTATAGTTTAGTGTTAAATAGCATAACAGCTTGATTTCTCCCTCCTCTCATTAAGTGTTGAATAGCTGAGATAAAAATTGAAATATATTAAACACTTCCACTTCAAAGTTTAAAACACTGGTCAGTGCCTGCCCAATAACAAGAAATAAAAGAAATATATATAAGTAATAATAAAAGAGATAAAAATTAAAGAGCTGTTTCTAAATGAAGGGCCATATTCTGTTCTTCTTGCCATCTACTAAAAAGCTACTTAAGCAGTGTGCTGCCAGCTCTGCGGTGTGGTGAGAATACATTTGCAGAAAATATATTTTTCTCTTACTCAGCAGCAGTTCAAACAATTTTTGAAAATATCAGACAAATGTGCAGAAAAATATTCAAGGTGATAACCAGGATTTTCATAGTTGAGTTGCTTCCATTTCTCCTCTACCTCAAGATGAGTGCTGTGCCAATCACATCCGGATGTAGCAAGAAGAAAAACAACCAGTGTTTAGCTGAGTCAGCTGTGTCTGTGACTTGCCTTCAAATAGCAAGGGCTTGGGTTCTTAATTATGGATGGGGAGATTAATTTGCACTGACCTCAAATATCCAGTGACCCTCAAATCCATTGTTTTGGGCCCAGATACCCATGGGAGTGCTAATATTAAAGCTCCAATCATACTTTAACAAAAACTTCAAGAGTGGCTTCAACTTCAACTGAAGAAATGTTAGGGGAAAGAAAAGGTTTCATTTCATCTCTGAATAATTTCTGAGTAAGGCCTCATTCAAATCTCTCAATTCTTTTTTAACTGTGTGGCACAGCTGCAGTAAATGCATTATTCCTCCAAGTATACTACCATGCACACAAAGCTTGGGAATATGAGCAACCAATTAAATCGGTGCAAAATTTAATTTCAGTGGTCTCTGTCAAATTCTGGTTTACTTAAACCGCTGGCATTCCTCCCACACTTGCACAAGCATTCACCAACACTGAATCAGAATCAGGTCTAAGAACCTTTACTTCCAATTCAGCAAACATCTGCTTAAGAAAAGGGACTAACTTAACTATTCAAGACAATACTTCTCCCCCCATACAAATTTCTATCAGCTTCTTCATAAAGGCTTAGTGAATCAATCTTTGCTACTCTGTATTTCTTTTCTACTCCCTTTTGCCAGCTGTAAAAACTTTAAAAACTAGTACTACATTCCAAAAAGATCATATCAGTTGTTACAGAGTACATGGAACTAATAGACTTACATCTCCCCTCTGGAAGAATATCTCATGAAATACCTAATATTTTACAGCATTCAAGCAATACCCTTCATATATATATATATGTATAAAGCAGCTCTCATGTCCCAAAGAAAATAGAAATTCTCACTCTGGAAATTAATTAAGACTTTAAATCTTGCCTTATTCCTTACAAATTCTTTGTTCATTAGACCACCCTGTATTTGGATTTTTTTCTTAAAAAAAAACCAGCATAAATCAAAAATAACTATGAGAAGACTGGTATGTGATTGCCCTGTTCAGAATAATAGGAAGTGTTTTAATGACTGGTAAAGCATAAAAATTAATGGATAAGAGTCGTTGACATAGGAGCATGAAGGACTGTAGGATTTTAAAAGTAATTCAGTGCTGCCAGTGGTAGATTCTGCCTTATTTAAAGCTGTTCTGTTTCCTCTATGAGAAGCTCCTTCAGCCCCAGCAGCCAGCAAAAGTTAATTCTGCAAGTTGTGTTAGGGGAAGAAATGGATGGTGGAATCAGAGTCTTTTAAATAAAGAGAATCCACACATCTTTTTGTGTCTCAGCACAGGATGATTTAAATGACAGACACAGGTCATGGCTCCAAACCTCATTCAGCCACCACCCAACCCAAGGGATTTCTTCAGGGATTTTTCTTTTTTTCCCCTAAGGTCTCACAATTACCAGCTCTCTTGAGATAATATAGTGGCTTTCTATTCTTAGCTTATTTCTCCCCTCCCTCTCTCTCTCTCTCTCTCTCTCTCTCACACACACACACACATGTACACACACACACACTTCCTACTCAAAACAAGACCCAGTGAAACCCTCTGCCCACATAGTTATAATTCCCAAGAGAACTTGCATATGCTTTTGTTTTGGGCAGTGACAATGTGCATATGTTTTGATTTCAGGCCCCCCCCATTGGCTCTCAGGCTCCACTTTAATGAAGACAGACCAGCTATTAAACTCACCAGTTTCAGCAAGCTACAACCCAGCTTCCAGAGTTCTTCTGACCTTGCAAGTTGGAGTGAGATTTTCTAACATGTTGCCTGTTAAAGGGTATTACGGAGTAAATGTTTTGGGTTAGGAAATACACACATTTTCCTGTTGGTGTTTGGTTTGAAAAGTGTACAGTGCTTGGACTCTTTCATAACAAGCCTGAGATAAAGATCAACAGTAGTAAGCCAGATAAGTGCTGTGAAGAGGAACAGCAAAGTTACCCCTGAGCTTACGTTAGTAAGGAAAAGTCCAAGAACAGTGGAAATGGACAGATAATTTTTTGTAGTTGTCATTCCTCACCATTAAAGTGAGTCACAACTGCTAAAAACAGAATACCCACAGAGATATAATCAAACTGATTCAATTAATTTTCTGTTTACTTGCACATAAACAAGTGATGAAAAATATTGCTGGATATTTTACAGGAAATTTCTTAAGCTTTTCCTCTTCTTCCTAAATACTCCATGCCTGGGAGAGGAAAGAGTTTGGGGCAGTTCCAGTCAGTCAGACTTCTATCTTTAATAGAGACGTAATCATTTTTGCTTTAAAAGTTACATGAGTCACAAATCATCCCTGTCATGTGAAGCCAGACTCATCACAGTTGGAAGTAAAAAGGTGCCCTAAATGAAGTTTGCCACAGATACCTGAATTATGATACTGCTTGGAACTGAAAGACAAGAAGATTCCACCTTCTGGAGCACAGATATCATGGATTCAAATTCCAGCACTGTGGTGGTGACTGGTAAGATTTTTATTTCATTCTTTGAGCCAGAGATGGTATGCACGCATGCTTGATCTTTGTCATAAACAGTTTCCTGGAGGGAAAAAGAGTAGCAAATGGTCATACTAACATTTCCAAATGGAAAATAACTTGCTGTGCCTTCCTAAGAAAAATCAGATACATGTCAGAGGAAACAGACTGCAGTCTGCCCTCTTTACTGCAATCCAGTTTGGTTTGTTGTTCATTCTCTCCATGTTTTAATCTTTGTTGACATTCTCTCTGATCCAAACCACATAGCTCAAGGCAGTGCAGGCTACTATTAGATAAAGCTTACCCAAAAGAAGCTCTGAAGCAAGAAAACCAGGTTGCATCACAATGTCATACAGTCAGTGTCCAGAATTAGAGCAGCACATGGCAACTTTCAGGGGCTCAGTTTCATGGCAAGGTAAGGGAGTTTTAAACAGGAGATGCTGCCTCATCACTGCTAAACTAAACCATCCCATTTAAATATACCAAAGGAACATGCCTGAACATGCAGCACAAGGGACCAAATTTGGAGTTTCTCTTGTTGGCTCCAAGTAGTGCAGCATCACAGAGGCAGAAGCAGCAGCTCAGAGAGCGCTGAGCTTTAAAAGGTTAAAGCTCCTAAGGAATGCTGCTGCTCACTGTTCCTCTTGTTGCCACTGGCTCATCTAAGGGCAATCATTACACATATCTTGACATGTGAGTTGCTGGATAATTTTCCACTGCAGGTCATCTGAGGATATAGGAACGAGGGTGAAGCTACATCAAAGAGATTTGCATCTTGCTGTTTTCAATTAAACACTTTTTTTTTCTTTTTTTTTTTCTTTTTCTTTTTTTTGTTTAATAGCTGCAAGATGGGCAGAACTAGTCTGGCTTGCTCCAGCCATAACTGCAGATGAGCTGGATGGGAGTGCAGGAGAGGGCAAGAGGTATTTGTTAACCTCCTAAAAGGCTGCCAGTCTGGTTCTCTCCTATGATATTTATGGCACATACCCTTGTTGGGAACACTTCTTAGCACCCTGTTAGTTTTTTCCTCCCTTTAGATCACCATTTATGTCCAGAAATCTCCTTGGTCAAAAAGCTTTAGACTAGTTAAGACACACGTGCATCTTTAATCTACTACAGAGATTATCACAGCATGTCTCTGTCACATTTTCACCTGCTTAGAATATAAACCTGCTGGCAGGGAGCCCAGTTTATTATGTGGAGCCCAGTAACATTCAGCCAGTTACCTTTCCACATTGCTGCAGGTATTGCAGTAAAACTCTCATACATTTCGTTATTTTTCATAGCAATTTTATCCTAAGCAGTAGTTTCTTAGGGCCACCCCTGACACAAGTGTTTCATTGTGAGCTCCTTAATAGCTTTATTATAATTCTGCAATTCTGCACACACAGGTAGAGAAACTTGTACAACTACAGCTCCAAAATGGAGCAGGTGCCACCCGAATTTTGCTCTCAAAGCAAAGAGGGGATAATGGGGTTTTATGTTTCCTGGAAATGTGAAATGAGCACCATTTTCTTTGTTCCCTCACCACAGGAGAAACTAACCTGGAGAAAATATTGTCAAAAATATAACCTTTTCATAACATTAAAGAGAAAAGATGGAGCAGTTATGAAATAAATATTAACAAATTAAGAAATGCTTAAAGTCTAGCACTAATTAAGCTGTCACAAGCCTGCATTTAGCTTAATTGTCTCTACATACAAGTAGCTTTCACTGTGCAAAATGGCAATCATCTGCTGTCAAGTATTTACTTGTCCATTTAAGGATTTTAAATATTTAAGAGTTATAGCATTAAAACCATTTCACAAACTCATTTTCCTGACACCCAGTATCTAGGACTTAGCAACACCCTGGATTGAGAACATTAATTGAGATTAATAAAGATAGTGGGAGTTTTCCTTCAAACTTTTTAATGACAAAATGCCCATCTGCTCAAAATTAGGTCTTTTCCCTTTTTATTAAAAAAAATCCTTTCACATAAAAGATGCATAAAATTGAATGTAATACTTTGGAGTCAAAGTGTTCTTTTCCCTTTTCTCCTCTCTTTTCCTGGGGGAAAAAGTGAAGACATTTTTCCCAGCATCACAAAAAAGCATAATTTCCCAGATAGAAAACTGTAAGCTTTCATTACTTGCTATTAAAATAAATCACAGATTAAATAAATTTTACTCTTTCAAACTTTTTCATTAAATATGCATGTCTTAATCTTCATGAGCTTTAACAATAAGAATGATACATTAACTGTGACCCAGGAGTATTTAATGCCATAACTTTTAGTAGTGGTATTTCTATGGATGATGACCCTTCCCCAAAATTATCATTTACATGATCTGTCCTGTTGGAGGTACATTTATCCAGCTCCACTTAAGGCTCTCTCATAAGAAAGGCTTGACATGAATGAAGATTGCAGGATTAGTTCTTTTATCAGTGAATATACAAATTGAAAATACTATTCCTTTAAGTGTTACCAAAGCTAAATCCTATCTAAAAAACTCAACCTCCATAACCAAAAATAGGAAGATAAAGATCAAATATGTGTGTGCACACATCAGCACCTAATCTGTAATTGTAGAGTAAGCACAAGTTAAAACCTCCTTTCTTTCTTTCCAGGTTTTGGTCCCTTCAGACAATATCTGGTTAATTCTAGCTGGGAAGCAGTGAAGGTAGGCATAAAAAAAAAGGAGGGAGGCATTTTATTTTTTAGACATCCCAACACAAACTGGTTTTAGGCTTTCCATTCCCTTTTCATGACTCATTAAACAGAATTGTGCCTCATGGAGCAGACACCCAACATGGAACAAAGAGGATAATGCAGTGAAATATTATTTTACTTGCTTTATTTTTGGTGCCATTTAAGCACTTTAAAATATTATTCTTCATTTAAAAAATTTATTTTTACTCATGGTACCTTTTCTACAACTATTGCATGTGCCACAGTGTTGCAGTGTGATGTCTGCCTGCAGTAAACCATCATCTCTCCTACCACAGTTCATTTTATCCTGTCTGTATGAGGTGATTTGCTTCTCACACAAGTGGAGCCTATTGAGTTCTCACTGCCTGCTTCAGGAACACAGAACCTAAACTGTGCCAGCTCTGAGTGTGAGTTCACATTTCAGCTTTGGCTTCCACTTTCAAATGACAGTGAATTCTACAGTTAAATTGAAAACAAGGTCATTCAGAGGGGATTTTTCCTTCATACACCTTGACCAGCAGTAATAAATCTCAGATGCAGTCTTGAAAATTCCTGCTTGTTTCCTAAATCTGTGTAGCAGAACAAATTTAGCTGGGGGATACAAAGACATGATTTGGATCCCTGGCTTTCAGCATCAGCTGATTCATTCTCCCTGTCACAGACAGCAGCCTTTCCTGGAGTTCAGTTACTCTCATAAGGTACCTATGAACAGAGTTATTGTGAGAGGATCTTCCCCATAAGTTTTTAGCCATCCCAAGGTAGAATGGAGGTTACACAATGAAATCTGAAACTAGTGGGGGAACAGTCAAAGTAGTAAAATTAAATTGGAGCATTGGTCCAAAATATACAAGAAATGACAGATAATATTGGTAAAATGGAAAGTAGGACATGTAAAACAAACCAAGGGGGCTGTATTCTATTATGAAGACTGAAACAAGTCCATACATTTTTTAATGCTTTTGGACAATGAAATTATAAAGTCAGCTATAGGAAAGTATTAGTAATGACAGAAAGGTGATGGCTCTACAGGACTGTAACCATAGTAAAAATTTTGGTGACAGCTACTGAATATCTGCTTTGAAAATGAAGTGCACTCAAGCCAAGATGATTGAAAACAAAGAGCCAGTATGTTTTCCCAAAGACCAAAGCTATAGTAATTCCACCAAAACATACATATTTTCTATTCTTTGTTAGCTTTGTTGGGTGAAGAACGCTGAGTGCAGCTTGGTGTTTGGTAGAATAAATCTATTGCCCCTTCCAAGTCAGAAGGGGTGTTATCCCTGTAGGCTAACAAGAAACAAAAATCCTTCTGTGATACCTTTCCACACCCCAATCATGACAGGAGACCCATAAATTATCTTAACTCCAACCTGACATGTGCCCTAAACCACAAATATTTGTCAGTTGACGGCTCATTATTTCCCGATTCCTATTGGTTCTAATTTTGGGTGCAAGATCATTCTCTTCTGGCTGAAAATAGAGCATATTCTTTATCTGCAAGCAAAACAGCCTCGTGAGGACACACCGATGGGATGAGTTTTCTGTAACAATGCCATGAGCTGGCCATGCCAGGGACTTACATAACAAGGGCCACAGCATTCCCCAGCAAAACAGATGTCAGCCCTTGTGCATGGTGAGAACAAATCCATTTCCCTCTGATGTGGCACCCTCTATGTGGAATTAATTTGTATTCAGATTGGGGATGCTGCTTTGGTTTCCTACTCCCTGGCAAAGGTGGTTAATTCAGGCAGTTCAGAGAAATTTGCTGCAAATCTGGAAGCACTTTGAATTTCGATAGGCTTCTCCACACTAAATAGCAATCTCATAGTATTGTTCCATTGGCCTCATTCAGGGGAGTAGCCCTGTGATCTTTAGGAAGCTTATGCACACACATATTAAAGATAGCAAAATTTAGTATTTACATCTGGAAGTAATCCTGTCTTGGCTTGGGGTACCTGCATAGATCACTGGAGTGACATAAAACCCTCCTGCCAAGTCTCTTTGCTGTGAACCACGCAAGTGTGCACTCAGATTCATCCTCAGCAACGTGCTGAGCAGCCAGAACAGACCTACTAAATATGACTGGTCATATGGCTCAATGCCTTTGTAGCATTACCCAGAACTACCCTAATTATTACCCCAAAATGAAGTAGGTGCTTCTCAAAAGCCTGGATAGCACCCTCAGTGATGATGTAATGCTGATACACAGAGTCTTAGAAGTTCACATCCCAGAAGGGTCCTCATACCAAAAGCCTCTGAAATCCTGTAAAAATACAGTTAACAGTTCCAGTGTCCTAATTCCAAAGCATAGCCTCACTCTCCATGCTCTTGAAATGGATCCTTGGCCAAAGAACCATGGCTGCCCTTCTCTGAGCAATACTTGATCTTACTCACAACTGTTTCCTTAAGCTCCTCCACAAGGTGCTGCTGATGGGATCAGCTGTGCTGGTCCATCCTTTTTGCTGTGTCTCCTCTTGCAGAATGTCCTGTCTGCAGCTTGGCAGCAAAATGACCTTTCAGGGCACTCCACCATCAAGGTCAGAGTCCCCAGTTAATAGGGCACAAATGCAAGCTGAGTGACAACATTCATAGTAATTAAACTGTTAGTGCAAAGAACAGGTCACATTTCCAACTGCTTCTGGGAACTATGTCTGCTATCAGGAGATGAGGATCAGATCTCCCAGCACAGTTTTTCGTCCTGCCACTGACCATGTGGTCTTTGGAAATCTGTCATTTAATCTGTCTCTCTCCCCTCCTGCTTTAGTTTCATCATCTGTGAAACCAAGACATTGCTATTTAGTGCCTTCATTTCTGTGTTGGAACTTTCTTACATCCCTGAAGTTTCAAGAAGGTTTAGAAAAAAAACCCAACTTAAAACAACCAAAACCCCAAACCAAACACATAAACAAAACCCCACTAACCAGCCACACAAAACACCTTTGTTTGCAATGTATTTGCAGTCTGGCTGGGCCAACTGAAACCTGGTTTCCTTTCTGCACCAGCACAAGCAGTTCACAAAATTAACACATGCAACAACCTTGCCAGCAACCCAAATCAGTGAGAACTCAGGCAAAATCAGTTATGTTTTCCAGAGTTTTCTAGAAGTTCAAGCTATTTCCACATACAGAGTTTCCAGCACCAACCTGAGCACAGCAGTGCTGTGCAAATCACTTCTCCTTGGACCAGAACACCAGTGGACCAGGACTATGACCACAACTCACAACAGCTCAAGGTCAGCAGCTGATAATGCTGGATTTCTTTTCCCTTCTAGAAGAACTTCCCAAGAAAGAATCTTCATGTTTTCTTTCAAACCACTTTTCCCACAAAACAATCCTCCAAAACTCTTCTCCTCCTTTGAAATTTCCTTTCCTGTTTCAATTACAAAAGACAGGCACTTGTTTACTGAATTCACTCACCAGTGTGAGTTTCCAGGTGCAGTTACCCTCCTCTAACCATCTTCAGTCTCCCACCTGAAATGCAAAATTGGTTCTGGTTAAGGCTGAGACAAGGAACAGCCTTTTTTTATATTGCTCTATGTTTACACATCCGGTGTAATGGGGTGTAAGCCCATGGCTGGGATTGTTAGGCAACACAGTAACACACATTATTGACAACATGCTGAAATTGCTTAGGACATAGAGAACCATCTTCCTTTGACACAAATTCTCAGCCATTTGCTATTGGCCAGCTTCAGTTTGGTCCAGCACAAAAGTATTTCTGTGTGTCTCTGCCACGACAACTGGTGACAACAGAATGTCTTGAACCAGAGAGCACAAGTGGAGAGCAGCATTACAGCTGCCTTTGGGTCTACATGTTCTGCACCAAAGTTAGGGGTAGTCGAGTCCTCTAAGCCTTATAGTTTAAAAGAAAGACTCTCACTAAATGTAAACATTAAAAATGCTTTGGAAAAGCAAATGCTAATTGTGAACCAGCTGGGGTTTTCTTGTGTGGAGGCTCAGGCACAGTACAGCATTCTTCAGCGGGATGATGCAATGGGCTCTCAAAGACTGTCAGCGCCCACAGGAAAAAAGGCTGGCACTGTTCTCCAAATGTGTTTACTTCCCTGCAGGCATTGTTTCCTTGCTTGTGTCAAATAGTTTATTGAGCACAGCTAATCAATGCTTCCGCTGACAAGAAAATTGGAACAGTTTATATAGGAAGCGAGTGGTGAAGGGCAGATTTCCCAGAACTGTGGGCCTCGTCCGCATGGGCGTCCTGAGTGAGAAACAAAAACCTGAGAATTTGATGACACTGAATAGTTACAGGTCTCCTGGGGTAATCAGACACCTCCACTTTTGCCAGTGCCCCCTTAAAAACTTAACCTGTACCATCCTTTGGGAGTGGTTTACTCAAATGGAACAGGGATTTTCAACCACCATTCTACTCTTCTGGGACAAAGTTTCCCACCTCAGATGAATTCCTTCTGCACCCTGCCACTGCAGCTGCTTACCTTCTGCTGAGGCCTAGGCCTGGCTTGTTAGCCCTGTTCCACTGACAAAATCATTTCAAGTCACTTCTATGTGACATTTATTATTCAGACCATCTTCCAACCACCTGGCCAACCTGCTGCTTTGAAGGGTGCTCTTGTTCCATTCACCTCAATTCTGGGCATAATTTTTTCTTCAGGAAAATTGGTCCTGTGTGGAAACTCAACCGTAATAACTGACGGAGAAGTAACATCTCAGTAACATTTCCTTTTACTAGAGAAACGTTCTAGACCAAAAAATAAATTAAACTCATTCTAAATGTGACTTCCTCGTGTTGTCAGTGACCTTCAGCACAGCTTACCTGAACCTGGTCAAGCTGGCAGATCTCGTGGCCCTGGAGTGGAAAAGTCATGCTTAAGGTGAATTCTCCTGGGTTTTGTCTCTTGGCAGTGCAGTTTTTCTACCAGACCTTTCAGAGAAACAGCTCTTACCTACAGCAAAGCCTATTTAGATGCTTTCAAGGGTGGAGCTTTTCTGAGAGATGTTGCCTCATGTTTCCCCAGGCACCAATCCCAAAGCAATAACCCCTCCCACCCACTGGAGACTGAGCATCTCCTTGGAAAACACAGCAATGGCTCCACACAGAGAGATGTGACATTAGGAAACTGTTTAGCACATTTTAGTCTCTTCAGTTAAAAGAGAGGGAGCAACCACAAAACAAATCTCATTGCAGACCAATGACAGGAACCGTGGGTTAAGGTGTGGCTCTTTCACGTGGTTCCTCAGTTGAATCAGCCCAGTTTGTTTATCAGTCAGAAATCCAGTGCTCCTTCATGTCTTTGATGGCTTTTTTGTAAACACAGGAGCTGTCCAAGAGAGGCCTCGGTGAAAACATTGATCTCCAGATCATGCAGCTGCCAGTGGTTTACCAAAAAGCAAAGGAGCAAGTCTGCAAGATATGGACAACTCTTCAGCCACTGGTGGGTAATGATGAAGTTAAACCATCTCCTCCCCTCCCCTGAATACAATGAAAAAATCTCCAAGAGAGTATTGCAAAACATCAAACAACTCTAGAAAGTGACTATTGAAACTGTGATCAAGGTTCCAAGCTGAAATTCAGAGCACACACTAATTAGCATGCTGGCTTAACCCTGTGCCAGTTAAACAGGGTAACTGATGCTGAACAAAGGAAAGGAAAACGTCTGCCATAAACTGCAAAAAAGGTACTGCTGCTCTGCAGTCCTGACTAGACTCAACAAAAACTACAGCCTAATTTGGTTCTCATTTAAAATACCTTATCAAAGTTTTCTTTAGACATGAGCAAGACTCCCCACCTTGAAGCCAGTAATTCACATAATGCTTGGACCTTTTGCATCACATGTTTTTAAAAAAGCAGGTTTCATTTTTAATTTCCTATTATTCACTCTGGTGGGAAAAACCAGCTTACAGTTCACGTTGGGCTGGCTTCGTCCACCACAGCGCTCATCATCCTGGAGCAGTGTGGGAAGAACAAAGGCTACCAGGAGAGGGATGCTTGTGGTTTTCACCCAGAAGGTGCCTGCTGCGTGCTAGATGGCCCAGAAAAGATTGAATCTGCAATTAATATGAAGACTCTCTGGAAAAACGTCTCAGTGGAAGGGATTGATATCATCCTTTCCAGAGATGCAGGAAGGTAAACATCGCGTATCAGGGGCTCACAAAAACAACTCAATCTGCTCATCTAACCCTGGAGAATCTTTGCCATGAGCTCTCCTCCAACCAAAACCACTCCAAAGCAAATTCTTCAGAGGGGCACAAGTATGAAACTGGGATGATTTTAAATTTTGTGTAAAGCAGCCTTCATGAAAAGCTACAGCCAGTAGATATTTTTCCATAAATTTGTAAATTCCAAAAGAAACAAGTTCCAACATAGCACGCCCCGTGATGAGCAACTCCAGTAAACCTCAGCTATTAAGAAAGTCTGAAAGCAATACAGACTAGTAGCAGATTTTAATCTATTTTCCTCAGCTGGGAGGGATACAAAATGTAAATTGATACACTGGAGAACAGCAATTACAGGTACTGTTAGAACCAGGCTTGTGATCTCATTATATGTTCCAGTAGCACTGAAGCAATTTTCTACTATGATAGTCTTCACTGGAAAGGAAAACAAACCAGTAATTTTATTTTAAATAAAAATCAGCTAATATTGGCCCTTAAATTCAAGATTTGCACCTGAATTTTAAAAGGTGGAATGATCAGAAAAATCCTTTCAGACAAGGAGATTTTATGACTTAGACAAAAACTTTGTTACATGGTTGTAACTTCCAGCAGGGTGTGTTACCTTTCCCACCCCACAAGAATGCCTGTCTTGTGATTTTTTTTTTATTTAAAGTTCTTTGTGGGTGGATGTCTGAGAAACCAAACCATCAGATAAGCAACATTTGTTTCTCAAACTTGGTTTATTTCAGCATTTCCTTTATTCACTAAGCAAATATGTTCTTAATAATTTCATAAACCAGATCTGGTTTGGCTGCTTAGAATATTTAAATTTAATCAAGGTTTACTGAGCCTTAATTCAGGTTCCTGGTTTTGTTTTGTTCTCAATATTGCAGGTACATCTGTGATTACACCTACTACACTTCTCTGTATTATGGCAATGGAAGAGCTGCTTTCATCCACGTCCCTCCATTATCTGAGTCAGTAACAGCAAAATTTCTAGGAAAAGCATTACAGACCATTATCTTAGCAATGTTAGAACAGTGTGGGGAACAAAGAGAGATGGATCACAGAGGGAAAAAATGAGAATTTCTTAGAATGCAATTCCTTACCTCTGAAAAGAAGCAGATCTAAAGATTATTTAAAACCCACACACAAAGGATTTTATAGCCCACGTTATTTTCAGTGAAATTTCCTTGCAAAACCCAACCAACCATTTGCATTGCTTAGAAAGGGCCTGAGGGGAAAAAATCCAAATTATTGGTTGTTCACATTGCTAACAATAAAGTTGTTCAGATTTCAGAAAGTGTGAAACTGATTGAAAACATTTTAGATGCTTAATCCTGGTTCTGTTGGTTAGAGAGACATCAATAAAGACTTGCTGACCCCAGATGGATGCTCACAGCTGTAAGGACTCAGCACGGGATGGATCAGAGATCCCCCTCAGCCCCTGTCCGAGTCCAGAGTTCAGCCCACAAAAAATCTGGGTATGGGGGAAATCAAAACACACTTGGGGATTCTGGTATGGGAAGTTTTACAGTTCTTTCTTACTGACCTGCTGTGGATACTGCTTTCCACATCAGCAACAGGCTCTGTCCCACAGTGACTTCAGAGAACACAGAAAACTGGAAACCAGCAGGACCTATAACGTTGTTGGTAACTTGAGTTTCAACCCAAAACAGCCACTTTCCCCAAATTTTCAGTGCCTGCCTCAAGGGGAAAACCCCATTGTCCTTCCACAGAGCACAGCCCAAAGGCAAATCCCAGAGCTAACCCGTCCCAAGAGAGGCAATCCTGAAGCACTGTGCTATAGGGAGGGTTAGGGCATGTGAGGTTACCTACAGAACAGGCACCAAAGGAGATCCCAAACTGTAAAACATGGGAGCAGACTCCTGCACATCTCAAACAGCTCCTTACACATGTGCTGGGTACCACAGAGGGTCACAGCACTGCCCTCAGCACACAGGGAATGTCCACGCTCTCCTCTGAAATCCTGCTGCCAGGACACAAGGAAAGATGAAATCAGTCAGGAACAGCACAGCAGCAGCTTCATCTGGATTCACACAGGATTTCCTGAGGGAAACAAAAGCCTGTTCCTCAAGCACCACCAGTAAAAAGGACAAGAGACAAACACACCAGCACAGGCAGCTGCTGGGGCTTCAGGCCGCCACTGAGCCCTGTTTTAGTCAACACCTTGATGCCAAGAGTCTGAGGAACTGGAAATGCCAAGACAATGCTGGTTTTCTGGCCACTGTCATTTCCAGTGATACAGAAAGCTGAAAACCAGGTGCTGGCTGGCTGAATGCCTCTCATGGGGATTGCTCTGCAGGTAAATAAAAACTAACAATGCTCACCTTATTCACAGGAACTGCCTCATGCAAACTGCTCAAATCTCAGCCATGAAGGATCCAAAAGCTCAGTGTCTCTGGATGAAAATGCTTTTGATTTCAATCAAACAATGGCAGTACTGACTCCTATTAAGAGTAGCTCAATTAGATGCAGCCAGAAAGGGCAGAGGAAAACCAGAGCAGCTTTACTCTGAGTTTTCTAACCTGTACTCACTTTGCATAAGGAGCAACAAAATCAGAAACAAACAAATGCATACAGAATTCTTTTATTTAACTTAAATCATGTAGTACTGAAACTACTAGAAAAAAGCAGAGTAAGAGAAACTAAAGGAGCCTTAGCTTCAGCCATTCAAAATAGACAAAGTTTCTTCTTTTCATAATGTAAAGAATCCCGAGTATATCGCAATAACAGGAATAAATTCTTACAACAGAATATACAAAAACATTTTGAAATTTTTTTTATCTACTGATTCATTTTAATATAAACACAGGAATTTCTTTAGGAATAATTTATACACAGCAAGTCTTTTTATGTAATAAATTGGCCATGTTATTGTTTAATTTTCTCTTAAAAAAATTTAAACAAGAAAAATTGGAAAATGTATTTGCAACTGCATCCATTCCTTAGCACTTTCTAGTTTTTTGTCCCAGAGGTAGACAAACTCTGGCCAATCCTTTCATCTCAAACCTCACTGGTTCAGAAAACAGAAGAAGCGAAAGGTGTCCCTGTCCATAGCAGAGAGGTTGGCTCTTCAAGATTTTTAAATAACAATAAATAGGGACCCTCCCTTGCTCATTTCAACAAAGCTTCCAATGGTGCTCAACAGCTTTACACAAGCATTTAAAGTGATAAGAGATTTGCAAAGAACTCTTCAATAGTAATTACCAAAGCCACCTTCCCTCTTTCCCTTATGCAGTGGCATCCTTCAAAGCACGAGGCCCCTGAGAGCCTGGGGAGCAGCAAACCCCGCTCTGCTTCCCTGACCAGTGAGGTTCCCATCATCCATGAAGGTAACTGCCCTAGACAGCAAAGTGAAATGACCAGGTAAGAGGATCCCACCCCAACCAGAGGGCTCTGGAAGACCAGGATACTGAAGATACAGAACATTTTCCCACCTCCTTTACTCACTCGCTGTATACTGGGTCACAAAGCTTGGGCAGGACGGGGGAGAGGGACAAGCCATGAACTGGACAAGTCAGCGATTCCTTTTTGGCATATTGTAAAGCTAACTAGTAACTGGTACCATGGAAAAACTGATCACAGACAGACACACCCACACACGGACACAGAGAAGTGCCCTTAAATTATATTTTAGGCATTTATAAACTACAAACATTTTATAAAATTATTCTATGTACTTACAAAACGCAATGAAACATTTAGTTAGTTCTTGTAAACCAGATCTTCGTCAACTGACTACCCGTAATCTACTGGACTTAAAGCCCTATTGAAAATGCTAATTAATGGTTACTAATCAACAGAACGCATACCCAAAAAAATATATATGAGCACACACGCATATGCACACACACAAACTAGTGAATCCTAAGGTACTTGCAGAACAGGCCGACCGCAGGCAAGACTGATCCGTACAGGCCGATGACCAACCACTGTCACACCCCTGGCAAGGAATTTACTGCTCCAGCTGCAAAGTCCAGAGGTTCATTTACAAGTACCAACAATCACAACTGGGACACCTGAGCGCTGCTGCTGTCCCACAGATTAAGCTCAGGATACCACCTCAAACTTCTGCCCAGCCCTGTGTCTCTGTAAATCCCCACTGCTGCGTCCTTTGTTGTCAGGTGTCTCCCCACAAACTCCTCCGTGCTGACTGACCCAGCTGCTCCATGTCAGAGGCTGTTCAGCACCTCTGAGCAACCAGTTCTGGACTGAGGTGTCCTTTGAAGCCCTCCTGTCTACTTGAGTTCTGTATCTTCAGCACCCCTGGCCACTTGTGTTGTTTCTAAACATCATTCTTCAATCCTTGTCTGCACATCTACTCATGGGTTAAGTTGCAATATCTGGCTTTATCACTGGTTAGTAGGGAGTGGATCCCTTGCACCTTCCTCCACTGTTGTTCAGCCCAGTGATTGAATACACGGTTGACAAACAAAATAAGAATAACAGGAAACAAGTGTTACTTGTACTAATGGAATGAAAAGGGTTTAAATATATATATATATCTATATTATAGATATACATATGCAGATATATATATGTATATATAGATATATATGTATGGAGTTACACCAACAATAGGAGTATTGTTCACTTATACTTGGATTGAACCCAACACCCCTCAGCAGTTCCCAGAGGGCCTGACAGCAGCCCCCTCTGGTCACCAGTCATCCTGGGCAAACTGGGCTTCCTTTCCTTTGTTTTAAGAGACCAAGAGGAGCATCAGTGCACCTGGAACCACACAGCACTTGGCACCAGCTGGGAGGAGCAGGGGCATCAGGCAGGGTGGCTCCACACCTTGCACCGTGCTCAGCTGCTGCCTCTGGTTTATCATCCCTCCAAGGAGCACCTGATTTAGTGCCATGGCTGTGTCTGCACAGCAATCGTGTTCCCTGGAACAAACAGCTCCTCTGCCAGGGCACTCTGCAGTGCCCCTCAGGAGGGACTCAGGCCTGCAGTCCCTGCTCCCCTTGGCGACGCCAGCTCCTGATCCCACCGCATCGGGACATCCTGGTGCCACTCCTCAAATGCTGCTTTTCAGGGCTGGGTGGGCTTTTGTGTTTAATTTATAAACAAACTGGATTACTTTAACTTTATTCAAACATAGCTGAAGTTCTAAATAAATTTTCCATACCAGACAAGCCAGTGGTCTCAGGGAAGAACAACATTACAAACCATATTATGACTCTATCAAGCCAACATTAATTCTCAGTTGTTCACATGCACAAACAACTCGATTTACTGTCCAAGGGAAGTCTGCATGAAAAACCCATGTGAATAAAGCTATTCAAAATGCACAAAACACAACAAAAAAAGCTATGGAAACAAACAGAACAAAAAAGGAATTAAGCTTGAATTGCAAACACAGAATGCAATGGTATCATGAAGGTGGTTTGGTCCAGGAGAGCTGACTGCCATCACACACGGACACGAGGCCTCGTGGCTGTCTTCCACTGAAGTGCTTTTTGAAATGCTTCTTGTGATGCTACGCCATTAGTGTTTCTTCCTAATGCATTGTAAAACCACCTAAGTACAACTCTACAAACCAGAAACTCGGACAATTTTAACAAAACCCTCCTAGCCAGCTGAAAGATCTGAGGATCTCCAGTTGTGGTAATCAATATGTGCAAGGGAGGGGAACAGCCACTGCACCCAAAGGTCACTTGAACATCAAACATGGAAAACCAAACGAATAATAGTGAAAACTTCCAATTTTGCTGGTTTCTCAGGACTAGGGAGAAACGCTCCCTCCAAAGACAAACCGTAGTAGTTAACAACAGCACTGTGTATCCAAGAGGTTGGGTACAACTCCAAGTAGCCAAGCACCACATTACTCAGATACCACAACCAACACCTGCACGAACAGCTGCCAGAGCTGGAAAAAAAGGAAACATTATACAGCAAGCTGATGGCAAGCTCATGTTAGTCCTGTGTGCTTGTAAACCAGTTACACGCTGTCAGAGGGCAGTTAAAATTTGATGGCTGGTCCATCAGAATCCACAGTTACAATGCATATAAACAGGGGAAGAAAAGGGAACTGTCTTTTTACTGGCACGTTAAAAGAAATCAATTCAATGTTAGTTTTGGAAAAAAGAAATTAAAAATTAAAAAAAAAAAAAAATCAGTGCTCTCATCAAACAGAAGCAGCAAAGACCAAAGGTGTAAATTTGATGTAGCAGCCAGTGACAGGTTTTGGTCAAGAAAGTAATGCCATCCCATATGAGCCAATTTATTTTTGGGTTCTGATTCAGCCAAATATCTTTTTGATGCTTGTGACATCTGAGCAAGAACTGGCAGGAATGACTTAGTCCATTCTACAGGACAAACAAAAAGAACATTCCCTTTAGTATTTCTTCTGGACCTTCAAACATTGTAAACATTTGATTTCTGTAACAGATTTCAGGAAATACAATTTGAAGTTCCCATATCAGGTCAGCTGCATTTCCACTCCTCCAAACACGCAGCATTTTGCTGCTGACCCAAGGGCTGCTGTGACAGCACATTAAAAAGCCTCTGTGTTTCCTTAAAGAATGGTCACCCTAAGTCACACAACTCTTGGATTTCTCATCACAACAACAAATTTTAAGAAATCGGAGAAACCCATTGGAATTGAGGCAAATATTCTGAGGTGACCCTCTGTGACAGGCAGTGACTGTTCCCCTCCAGAACCTAGAGCATGTGGTATATGGAGTGAGAGGTTACCAGTATCAACGGCATTTATTGGCTGCTGAGAAATGTGAGATGTATTTTTTTTTTATATACACACATATAAAAAAATAAGAGTGAGGTAGATAAATGTTTGAAAAAAAAAAATCAAAAACTGTCCCCCCTGTCATACTCTAAAACCCTTATCTCAGTATTTAAATTCGTTATGGGGCATCTCTACAGTGATTTAAACTGATATCACAAAAATAAATAAAAAATCCTACATAGAATACCTTCTTAATTAACTTTTTTGTCTTTTTCATTTTCAAAAGGGAAAAATAACTATGGGACAGAGGCAAGAGAAGATAATGGGACCTAAACTACACAAGCAAAAAGCACTACAAACTTTTAAAAATCTCCAGTCAAAACTAGCAATCAGTATAATTTTTCTCATTGTTCTTACTCAAAAGATTTGAACATTTCCATCCCAGAACCACCTCTTCCTGCCATCGTTTGGTTGGATCAGTGCTAAACAAAGGCCTAGACTGGAACTAAGGTAAGATGAGCAACTGCTGCGACTCCTTGGGTGTCGACTTCCTGACGGCCCCTCCTTCCCCTCTCACCAAGGCTTCTGCAACTGAACAAACAAGCTCACTCGTCTTCTTTTGTTCTGAGGTTTGGTCTGTGATTTAAGCCACAAGCTTGGACTTGTACAGGTTTCCATAGCTGCCAACACTTCACTGTTTGCCAGCCAAGCTGCCGGCCCCAGCTCCGAGCTTCCCACCGGCCCCACGGGAAGGGCACAGGGGCTTCCCTTTGGTTGGGGGTGGTTTTCTTCACCAGGGCTGGGAAGTGCAGCCCAGGTGCCCTCCACGAGGGCTTCCCTGCACGAAGGTTTCCCCATCAGGAAGGTGAAGAGCTGGGGTTGGCTGGAGCCAGGTGATTGATGGCCACCATAGGAATGCCTGGCACTGCCAGCTGCACCTGGCACAGCTCTTGTTCACAGGGTGGAAGGGTTAGAAGAATCTTTTTAAGGATCAGTGACCCAAAAGCCTGGTGTCTGCTGTTGTACCCAACTAATAATTTAAAAAGAATACATGTGTGTGTGTGTGTGTGTCTGTGTGGGGATGGGCGGGTGGATGTGTGAACAAGCGGGGAGGGCAGGAGGGGTAGGACCCTTGTACAACAATGAATATAAACACTGAACAAGGATGTACTAAATAGTTAACCTTTTGTTTCTGACCTGAGTTTGTATCACGCCTTGCACTGTAAGAGACTCCGTGCTGTCTGGGCAGAGGTTAGTGGGAAGGAAGGAAAACTGGGGCTTAAAAACACCACACCACAGCACTGCCAGAGTGTTCCTGTGCGGGGTGTCCCTTCTTTCTCCTTGTCCCCCTCCAAAGCCCCGTAGCCCACACAGCCAAGATGTTGTAAAACAACTAATGGGAAGGAAAATAAAATTTTAAAAAAATTAAAAAAAAAAAAAGGAGGAAATGTATTTATAAAAAGGCATTAAACAGTTCATGGCAAATCATATGAAAGGTATCAGTTACTGGGAAGGAGGAAGTAAAAGTTACACACTATAGTACAAAGCATAAGAAAATTTGTTGAAGTGGAAGGGAAGGGGAGGAGGGCAGACCTGAAGGTTTTCATAGATTAAATCCACAAAGATAAAGAACAAAAAAATAGCAGCTTTTTTCTGTACAGACATATAGATGAGTATCTGAACCGTAAGAAAGTTATAAAAGTGACACAAAAGACAATGTGTATGCAAATGATCCATGGTCTAACATAGAACTGCAAGACCCTTCGAGAAGTCTTAATAATAAAGAGTAAAGGTCAACAAAGCATCATATACTTGAATCCGGTTACTGCTTTTTTTTGTCTTCTCCAATTTATGTTTCTAGGTGTTTTTTCCTTGCAAGCCTGGGAAGGAAGGCAGGCTGCAACGATGGAGATCTCGGCCGCTCATTCTCAGCTTTTTCGTAACTCATTTTTGGCGGGCAGTTGACTTTTTTGTACGAAATGCACGTGTTTGTTTAGCTCACCACTGCCAGTTTTGTCCAGAATTCACTGGGATGGGGACAGGGGTGGAGGGAGGGCTGGTTCTTTACCCCATCCCTTTTATCTTCTCCATCACAAGAAAAGCAAAATAAAAATCACATTTTGTCCAGTTTTGAAAGAAGATCTAGACAATTTGACTTTTTTTAAATTATTTTTTTTAAATACCAGTGCATGACTGAATAGAACATATTGGTCAGGATCTGTTTTGAACAGAGCAGTTGATTACTGTGCTCCTTCCATGACTACAAAAAAACAAAAAAGAAAGCAAAACAACAAACGAAAACAAAAAACAAAGAGTTCATTTTTTTGGCAAAATTTGGCAGCGTTGAAAATGGTAACAGCCTTGGACGAATGATGGCCCTTTTTTATTCTTTTACATGTTCCTAAAAAGATTAAAGAGCAACATTAAAAATCCAGTCTTTTTTAGTTTAGGGTTTTTTTGTGTGTGGTTTTTTTTTTGTTTGTTTGTGGTTTTTTGTTTGTGGTTTTTTTTTTTTTATAAAGACCTACAGTGTTAGGCAGGTGCTTGCAGGGGTACCGGGAACCACCTGGCCTGCAACATCTTTGATCTGATAAAAGTGCTGTACGGTTGAACTTGCACGCAGATATGTTTCCCATTATGAAGCAAAAAGAGAGACAGAAAGAAAGAGAAAGAAGAGAGAGGAGAGAGGAGAGAGAGAGACATCAGATCTCAAGTTTTCTGTTGCTATTAAGTGTTAACATTTAAGAGTTTTAAAAGGCCAACTGTGTGCCCCATGACTGGAGTCCTTGACTGAAACAAACATCTGCTTGCATATTGAAAAAAAAAAGAAAAAGACGGTAACTTGTTTACTGAAAAAAGGGTTCTCCCAAGTGCAGCTATGGCAGTTCTGAAGATCCACTGAGGTACAGTAGGCTTTTGAATATATTGTGATTTTCTTTCTTTCTTCCCCCAATGCCTGTGTTTGTGTGTGTTTTGTTCCTGCGAGGATCAGCAGGCCGAGGACTGGGGCAGCGGCAGGGCACGCTCGTTCTTGCGGCCGCCGTTCATGTGCGCGTACGGCTGCCTCTCCTCGAAGCTGGCCCGCAGCACCACCACGCCGGGGCCGTTCTCGGCCTTGTGTCCTGAGTGCTTGTCAGTGGGTTGCAGGGTGGAGGAGGGGTCTAAAGGAATGCTCTCCATGTTCTCAGTCTCCAGGTCAAGCTCCTCTGTGTCCGGAGGCTTGTTCTCTTCACTGTAGAAGAAGGAGACCTCTTTGAAGGCTGGGTCCAGCTCATCTTTGATGCTACCGATGATTTCCAGGAAGGAGGGTCTCATTTTGGGGTTGTACTGCCAGCACATGCGCATCAGTTCGAACCTGGGCAGGGAACACACAGGAGAGACATTTACTGAGGGCTTCAGAGCCGTGACTGGGTCAGACCACGCATTTTAGAGAATCATTGCATCCCCAGGGAAGCCAAAGTGACAGAACTTCCACAGGCTGAGATCCCCAGGGTTGTGGGTTCAACACCCAAAACCAGCCATTTGCTTAAGAGTTGGACTTGATGATCCTGGTGGGTCCCCTGCAGCTCACAATATGCTGTCAATCTCTGTGACATTTCCACCTTCCCTCTCATCACCCATTTACTCCCACACCTCCTAGCTCACCTTTCCTGCTCCCTCCCACACACCTGCTCATACCTTGTGTCTCATGGGCACCTGACGTCCAGAACCATTGCATACTTTTATTCTCACTTGGTGTTTCTCTTTTTCCTCTAAATTACCCTGTGCTCACTCGAACATAAACTACATGATTGCACCTCTTGGAGTATCTTTTTCAACCAACTCATCCCACCCCATCAATACTGACTTGGAAAAAAATTAAAACATGAAATACACACAAGGTAAAGCACCGCCTTTTTCCCCCGAAAGAAGAAAATTACATTAAAATTAATTGTAATCCCCAGTGGACATTTGCCAATCTCAAAGACATTCTCTAATCTTTTTATTTTAAAATTAGGTTGTTTTCATTTACGGCCAGGGATGCATTAATATTTTACAGAGTGTGAGATCATCTGTTTAAGCACATCCATGATTAGATCTGTACAATGTCCCATGCTGGCAAAACAAAACCACAAAATGAAACTGTAATACAGACATAATGAAAACAGCATTTTCATGACACAGCAAAATTGGATATTCCCAGGAGATCGCCCTGAGCTTTAAACATAACACAAGAAAGGATTTCACCGTCTGTGAAGGTGGAATAGGGATGTCTTCTGTTAACACAGCACAGTAATAGGACAAATTTAAATAAGAAAAGGAAGATTAGCATTAATTCTTCGAGCCAACCCTCTGTGTACACAGTGCTCAGAGGAACATGCTGTGTGGAGGAAGTCACTGCTGGCCAAAACTACTACTCTGTGCTAGAGTAAGAATGGATCTAAAAATAAAATAAAGCCAAGAAAGATCTCTCAGTTAAGGTAATGCATGTCTCTGACTCACCTGCCAGCACTGGGACCTGCAGCCCCAGTCAGACCCCCTTGGCTTGCTGGGGTTTATTTCTCACCTCTGCCAGCATTCCCTTAAGTCAGGTCACCTGAACTTTTAGCTTCTATGCTAGAGAACAACACCACCATATTTCCAACTTCCACAGATTTTCAGGGCTCAAATGAGCAACTCTATTTGAACTCTTCATTAGCTCTCACTGCCTTGTGCCCTCAGTTGACCAGATCTCTGCATCAGCGTGGAAAAATTTTGTTTTTAAATTAAGTAGACAAAACCAAACAAACAAATTCACTCTCTTTTTGTATCAGATCTAAGTTCATCCCAGAGTAATGTCCCTGCTCTAGAACAACCTTTCCAACAGGACTGACACTGAGCTGGAGAAGCCTGGGCTCTGCAGCCCATGGTGGGTCTGGAGAGAGTTCAGGAGCCTTGGCCTGAAACAAAACCCCAGCCCAGAAACTCGGGAAATTGGGAAATACTGCTGCACCTCCACTGTGCTCTCAGCTGACGTGAACCAGCAGAGAGGGCAAGTGGCTGTGTTTGGGCTGCAAACACTGCTGAGTGCTCCAACCAAACCCAAAGCAATCTTCACTGAAGTGCATCTAAAGTGCCCAATATCCCTGCCAGAGCTCCACTGGCAGCGCTCCGCGTGAACAAACGTCAGCCACCTGAGAATGGCCTTGTGACACCCAACTGGAGCTGGCAAAACCAGTCTGTGCTGGGAGAACTCCCCGGGTACTCAATGCTGCATTGTAACCGCACGTAGACACGTAAACACTGCCCAGCTCCTGCTTGTTTTTGAGTCTGAAAAGCCTTTCAGAGCAAAAGCCGAGCCAGACTATAAAACTGCACCGTACCCTCACCCACAAGGGTGAGGAAAGCTTGAGACATAAATATATAAAATCCATTTCTGTTACTTCATTGCTGTTTCCCTTCCAGCTGACTGCTGTGTCCCTGAATAGAAGCTTGGCTGGGGCCAGGAACTCTGGATATTCGCTGGCGCTGCGCCCCGAGGCCTAAGGGCAATGCTAAGGAGATACCACAAGCAGCGGAGTAATGCATGTGACATCAGCACAAACAAGGACATGTGATGTTTCTTTTAAGCCATTCCAGATTTAAAAACCCTACGGAGTTCCCATAAAAGGATTTTTTTTCCTTTTTAACTCTGTGTGTTCGCAGGCCTTGTTTACATTATCTTAAACAAAATAAAAACCTTTCCAATAGACAATGGAGGAATTTACAGGCTGTTAATACAACCTGAGCAGATTTATAAAGTACGTTCCTGACTGGTTGCAAGTGAGCTCCAGGGAGCTGGAGGCACCACCATGGGTTAGAGGAATAGCCAGCATTCCTCTATGCATCTTTTGCTCAAGGAACTGAGGAGAAACTGAGCTCTGTTTTGTACCAAGACAATAAAAAAAAACAAAACAAAACAAAAAAACCAACAAAAACAGAAAATGGAAAGTTCCTAGAGAAGCTGCATTCCATTTGTGCTTTGCAATACACTTGATTTGGTGGGGAAAAGCAAAAGGACCTCTCCTCCCCTGCTGGTGCCTGTGCTGCCAGTGCCTCTGCAGAGCAGACCCCGGGTTCTGAGCAGGAACAAAGGGAAATCAGCACTGCGTAAATAGTCTACAATGCATGTGGGGGAAGCAATCCTGCTTCAAAAACAGAGTGGAATTCCAGCCTCCACAACTTTTAAAAGCCCCATGGGAACACACTGTCTGAGAGCTTCAGCTGTACCAAAGCTTGGTGCCACGCAGCCGTCACCTGATGAGCAGTGCCATAACAATGGGAGGACATAAAAACATCACTGAGTGCACAGGAAGAGGAGAAAAACAGCAAAGCTTCTCCTGGCACTGTCTTACTGAACCATCTGTCTTATTGCATGGTTCTGTCTGCAGAGCCACGCGAGCTATGCCAAGAGGGTGTAGCATAAACACAACTGAGGCTTGTTTCACCCTGTACAACAGTAAAGAGCCTCCAGAAATACCCTCCCCTTTGTGCTTTGCCCTTTTCACAGGGATTCACCACCTCCCAGCCACAGGACAGCCCCCTGTAAAATCCCCCTTTGCCCAAGCATCCTTTGCCCTGCACAGCCACACTGTAGAACAGAACCTCTCCAGCTCCACCAAAAAGCCACTGAGTGCCAGAGTCAGGGGAGCACAGGCACCAGCATGACCAGGGATGGAGACCCTGACAAGCATGACCAGGATGGAGACCCAGAGGGTCCCAGCCTGCCTGCACCCTGCAGAATTCATGGGGGGAACACGAGGTCCTGAGGGGAGCTCCTGCTGCGTGGCTGGAGGGTGCAGGGCTGTGTCACCATCTCATCACCTGCATGGCTAAAACAGCAGATTTGAGGACAGCAAGGGTCTTCTCTCTGTTCTCATCTACACTTCCCCACAGCAGTTACCTCCCCCACCTGTTCTGGAGGTTTCTCTCTGTCAGCACACTCCCCTCTCTCCACAGACAGCCCCACTGATGTTCTGACCAGAATTTCAGTTGCCTCCAAACCAAATTAATTTAAAGAACAAAGTTCCTGTGCTTTTGTAGGTACCCTGTGAGACACAGGAGCACAGAGCTCCCCTTCTTCACCTGCTTCCAGGCAGCACCAAGCCCAAGTGACCTCCCTGCAGCCAGGCTCTGCTTTTGGGACATTCTTGAGTTAATATCAGGAGTCAATACTAAAGTTTCACAGACCAGTCTCCACCAGCAAGAATTTGTGCTGCCTAAAAAGTACCTCCCACTAGCACAGACATGCCAAGAAACCTGCCTTCAAACACAATCTTTTAGCCATCTCCACAAAAGGGATCCCTTGATTTACAAAGGGTTTCATAAAGCACTGGAGAAAGCAGGGGCCTGGGATGCAGAGTAAGATCCATGTGCAATTTCAGGGCTCTCAGACACAGTTAGGAACACTCTCCTGCCCATGTCCTCATCTTCCTGTGGGTCCCCAGCTGAGGAGGAGGTTATGGGCCCTGGAGAGGAACCAGAGCAGGTCTGGTCCTGCCAGCAGTGTGTGGTGAGGGCTGGGAGCAGTGGGGAGGTCACTGAGGGTGGCACAGCATTGTCACAGCTTCCTGGGCGGGGAAAGAAGTGAAAACATGCAAAGAATAAAGATCACAGGAACATAAGAGGCATTTGATTGCCAAGTGCATGTGCGGGGAACAAAGGTGAAGGTTACTCCTGGAGCTCTCTCCTGTTATTCCTACAAATGCCTACTTGAATTTTACCAGATTTGGGTGTCTGTACTAAAAGACAAAACAAGCTGAAAGGGAGCAAAAGCAAGTCACAATAAGGTCATGCTTTTTTTTCCTCCCCTTTTTACATTTGGGATAAAGCCAAGATGTTTTATACTCAACTTTATCACTAGAAAAAAAGCAAACCAAAAAAATCACCAGCAATGTGGATGTGCCTTAGGTCTGAGTTCAGCCTCATTCCTTTTTCTGACAGAGCAAAGCAGCACAATACAAAGGCAGATTTTTTTTATTCAGCACCTCTGCACTGTCAGGCTGAACCCTGCTGGGCAGAACCAGCCTCTGAGCAGCTTCTCCAAGAGGAGCAGCACAAGAAAGGCCTCGGCTCTTATGCAGCAGTGCAAAGATTTGCTCTGCCAGACTTTACCCAAGCTCTCCCAGCTCACAAGCAGGACCCTCAAAGGGGATTCATCCAGCAGCAACAGCCCTGGAGCAGAGGAGATTCCCTGAGGAGGGGGAGGAAGGAGAACTGGGTGGGCTGCAGCAGAGAGAACTTGTGGCCTGACTCCCCTCCCACCCTGCTCATACCACACACACCCAGCTTTACAGGGAATTTCCAATGCTGGATGTCTCTCCAGTGAGGCTGTTCCACTGCAGAGGTGCTTTCTCCTGTGAACCCAGGGAGATGAACCCATCACATCCCTGTCCTTCCCAATCGTGCCCACCCCATTACACTGCTCTGACTGTGTTAAACAATGTCCAGTCAATCTGACTGCCAGGAATTCTCCTCAGCATCTCCAAAGGGAAGGAATGTGAAACCAAGGAATCACATGGCAGCTACACCTCCCCCTGCATATACCACCCACCCCCCTCAAACAACAAAACAACACTGCCTGTCATCTGAAACCACAGCCAGGCTCCAGCCAAAAAAGCTATTTTCCTAAGAATCCCAAGCAGCTGAGGCCCTTAAGTGATTGTATCCCTTCTGGGGGCCTCCAACAAATTTCAATAACTGCAAGAGGCAGTATTTCCTTCCCAAAAGTCAGTTTGGGAAGTATATCAAAGCAATAAAGTCTGAACAACTGAAACTGCTGTACACAAAGGCCAGCAGAAGTATTTCAGCAATGTAAAGCTAAAAACTGAAGCTGCTGCACTGCACACCCTCTGCTGCTGTGAGGCTTTGGGTCGATCCTGGGGCAGGGAGAGGTTTTTCTGTGGAAAACCTCACCCTGTGCTTGCAGGGAAGGATACTGTTAGCAGGGAGGATTGGTTTATCTCAACGGGACAAGGGCTGTGACTGAAACAGCAGATTCACAGTCCAGCTTCTGACACACTGATTTATCTGTATGCTGAACTAAAAAGTTGAATTTCAGTGTTTACACACATTTCAGCTTGTCCCTTGCTCTCTTCTCTATGCTCAAGAGAATTACTTTAAGCAGAATAGGTATGATTTAGGCACAGAGCCTCCTAATGTAGCAAATGTCACTTATCAAGCAACATTTTTATTAAGCCTAATTTTAAGTTTTATTCAGTAGCACAAAGCTTGGATTTTGTTTGCTTATTAGAGGAGATAGCCCAAGGTGGGATTCTGGCCACAAGCCAAGTTGTTTTCTGGAATGTCTGGACTGACAGAGACCGATCAGCCCCCCCTGTGGTAGCTGGCAAGGGCAGACCCTGCAGGGCTCAGGAGGCACAGGCTGTGCCTGCAGGGCAGGGGTGGCACTTACAGCATGTCAGGACAATTGTCTGGCTTTTCCAGCAGCCCCCCTTCCATGACGAAGCGCAGCACCTGCTCGTTGGTCATGCCCTGGTACGGCTGCTCCGCCAGCGTCGCGATCTCCCACAGCACCACTCCGAAGGACCTGCAGGGAACAGCACAGCTTTAGGCTCCCAGCCATCTTCACAAGGTGTAATTCTTACAAGATGCTGAGTGCTGGGTGTCCATGGGTGTTTTCTTTTAACAAAGAATTCCAGTTCCTCAAAAAACACGAGCCTGTGGTGACAGTCACAACCCCTCCCTCCAGAGACTGCTGACTTCAAGCACCTCCACTCTAGTGAGAAAAGGGCTCAGGTGAGAAAAACTCAGTTACCCCTTTGTGACATGCATGTAACTGTGCTCTTGAAACACAGCTTCCAGCTCCTTCCAGATAACTACAAAGGACAGCAGAAGTGAAAAAAAGCAGTTTGTCTAATAATAGGAATTGATTACTGGCAAAGGAAGATAAGCATAGTTATGTAATTGGGTAGTTTGGACGTAAGTATTGACACTTTCTAAAAATATCTCCATTTAAAATTAGATTATTGAGCAGACACAGCTCAAATTGTCTGCCCTGCACTGAAGAGTCATCTACTTTAGGAGCTGCTGGGCAAAGAAGGAAAATCTCGATGCTGTCTGACTTGTGTGGTAAAATGCTGAGTCAAGCTGAGTAAAAAACACACAGTTCCACTGGGGGGGAGTTATGAAAACAGGAGTCCAGTGCCATTAGCTGGTTATGGCCCTGGGGTTTTATCTTTCAGATATCCCTGGGATCTAAACTGGTTTGCATCTGGAGCCAGAAGCCACAAACTCCCTTGCAATTGTTTTCCTTTTAGGGGAGGGAGGGACAGGGGGTCAACTCAACATTTGGGCGCCTTTGAAGCTTCTTTGATCACCGCAGGGATAACGAGGACAAGTCTTGCACACCTACTCGTCAGATTATCCTAACAAATAAACTCAGATTGCTCCTTCCAGGCAACTACCAGCCTCGAGAGAATGCAAGATGCTGAGGATTTATTTATAGAAATCCACCCTCACCCTGAACAGTATTACATTAATTTTAAAATGTCCTCCTTCCCTAACTACAACAAAACCAGCCCTGTCTAATTACCTCATTCTTCAGCCTGAAAAGCATTAAAAGAATGAGTTGCTAAAATAAAGCTCCACCCTTCAAACCTCCAGACACTCTTCCTTCCTGCAGTTGCCATTTCACCTTACAGCTTATAAATCCTGGACTCCAACCACTCAACAGGGTTTTGTCTTTTTGACATCTTGGCTTCTAGAACTGATCTCGAAGAACATGGAGCTACATGTCACAATATCTGCCCAGAAAGGCAGGAAAAACAATCTCAACCTTTTGTTTACTGTTTGATGCAAATAAATGGCCCCTAAAACAGCCAAGCTCCACAGTTTACACTGAGCAACTTCAAATCTGAACCAATAAAAGGATTCAGGGAATTTTTCCTGGCATGAAGAGACCTCCAATGTATAGTGCCTGGTGTAAAAGTCACTGAGAAGGAATGATCCTTTTAGCCATAAGCAGATCAAGTAAATAGACAGTATTTCATGACAGTGTTAAGTCAAGTTCCACTACATTTGGAATTTAGATTGAAATTTCTCTGTAGCTATGGATACATGTTCTAAACAAACAGCAAATTTCTCACGTTGAGCCTGTTTTTCTGTGCCTCCAGACAAGTAGACCCCTGTGAACCAAATTTCAGAGTAAATCACTTCCAACAATTAAGATGCCAAACCATCCCAAGGAGAAACTCTCTGAAATACCCACGAGTACTGTGAGCCTCCTCTCCATAAAACCATTTTTTTCCTCTCTATGCTTACAAGTAAAAATCTGTCAAGATTTTACTGCTCCTCCTCTTCAGCTTTCCAATCCTGTAATCAGCAAACTCCTTTCCAGGCCAGGATATTCACTCAGATTGTCCCACTGATCAAGTGCAACACCGTTTGCACAATCCTGCTTTGGACTGAGCAACCAACAAATGCCAAATCATGGAATCCCAGGATGGCTTGAGCTGGAAGGGAACTTAAATCCCATCTTGTTCCACCCCCTGCCATGGTCAGGGACAAATTCCCCTGTCCCAGGCTGCTCCAAGCCCCATCCAACCTGGCCTTGGACACTTCCAGAGATGGAGCAGCCACAGCTCCTCTGGGCACCCCATGCCAGGGCCTCTCCATCCTCACAGGGAAGAAATTCTTCCCAAAATTCAATCTAAACCTCCTCTCTTCCTTCTTAGGGAAGCACTCATGTAACTTCCTGCAACAACTACAGCACTTATTTACATCTGACACCTTAGCTGGCGTCACCTGGGGTTTTTTTGTTTGGAATTTGAGTTCTATTTAATAAAGAATAACATCACTTAAGAATCCCAGGGTAAAAGGAAGCACGAGTGGAACACACATGGGACATCCCCAATGCTCACCCTGAGCTGCTGCTGAACCCTTTGGAGGCAATGGCTGGACCTGAAAATTCCTGTTGTTGTGTGGTTGGAACAGGCAGCTCTGCCAGCTCCTCACTCCAGGCTGGGTCAGTTCTGCATCTGGGGATTTTCTAGTGATATAATCCAAATTTCTGTCTGCTTTGTGAAGCCATTACAAGTCCCAAAATTCTTTTACTGGGGGGACTGCCAAAAGCATGCCTGCACTGTTCGATCAGATAAATGGCTGATACAGGGCTTCCCTTCAACTCAATGTGGCTGTTTTCATCTGCTTCCAAGTCTGAGGGTTAGTGGATTCAAAAGTAAGTTACTAGCCATATGTAAAATAAAATTTAAGCATCATTCTGGTGCTTTGCTTTTTCACTTTAATTCCTCTTAGGAACTTTTTGTTCAGAGCTGGTGCTGTGAACTACAGACCACTGACTCCAAACTCCTCAAGCTGCTCACGGAAAATGCAGTTTACTCCTAAAACACCATTCCTACTGACTTCTAGACATTTGGAGGCAATCAGCTGCCAATTCTGTAACAGATCAGCAGTAAAAACATCTTGTTAGGAAGGCAGAGAAACCATAAAAGACAGAGGAGAGGTTTTGCCAGTACACAACCATCTTCTGCCAAGTACTCTCTACCTATCTCCAAAAGCTGGGGGGTGTGTGGGGAATTGTTCCAGGGGATTACTTCTCCTAAGTACACGCCTCTATTAATAACTGCACAGATACAGCAAGCATGCAGTGTGCTTTGAAAGAAAACCCTATTTCTGCATCTTGCAGTATATAAACCAAGCAAACAAAGCTCCAAATGGAGAGGGATATGCACAAGGGAGAACTCCCCAAAAAAGCCTGCGAGTGTACACAACCCATCTGGGGGAAAGTGATGTTATTTACACAGAAGGTTTTGATGGAAAAGCAGGTCAGCATTAGGAACCTTTCTATATTCTTGGCAACTTTTAATGCTTTTCTTGAAGGAGGACAATTTAAAAAATGACAACTTGCTCTTCCAGGTGAAGGTAATGTTTTTCACTGCACAACTGATTTTACAACTAACAGCAGGAAACATGCTGCCACCTCCAGTTCTGGAAATCCATTTAATTCTGCTCTCCCTGAGAGCAAAATTCAACCTCATGCATGAGTTCTTGCTGAAACACAAACTCATGGAACAAGAGATTTACCTCTGAACGGACAGGAGAAGCAGTACACTTAGTTAAGTCTACTAAAACAAGAAGAGAGGCTAGAAAGGAGGAGGTTAAAGCAGCTTTTCAGAGCCCCTGTTTTGTTACCAGACGTCGGAGTGCGTTGTGAAGACTCCATCCTTCAGCGACTCCGGGGACATCCAGCGGACGGGCAGCAAACCCTTCCCTCCCTTGCGGTAATAATCTGTCTCGTAGATGTCTCTCGTCATGCCAAAATCTACAAAGGAGAAATACTCTGGGTTTGGGTGAGAAAATGAGGAACATCTCCCCTTCCTACAAGGCAGAGAATCACACTTGGCTGTGAGGAATCTGCGCTGTGCTCCCACGACACTTGGCTCTGCAGACACTTCAGCTGCTGCCTCAGGGCTGGTGACCTTCCCTCCCAACACCAACAGACTGTGCCACTGGCTTCGGGGGTGACAACTCTGAATGGTTTAAATATAGGAATGTGAAAATTACAGCATTTATGCTCAAGCTTTGCAGTAAGATGAGTCTTCTGAAGGTCACATAATTCACTAATTGTTCGCCAAATTCAGTGATTTTCGGGTTTTTTAAGGAGCTTCTTTAGTACTTATAACCACTGTGTTTAATTGAACAATCTCACATCCTGAAGGAAATACTTCTCTCGGTTTTCTTTTTCCTATTTCCAAAGATAATGCCCAGTTTCTGTACAATATTCCATTTCAAGTGCTACAGAGGATTATACTGTTCATTTGTGATTAACACACCCAAATATTAAAGACATACTTCTAGTTTATATGTATGCTCAGCTGTAAATTCATAAGCATTTGCAAGACTTGGATCTAAAGATGTTCATCCCCCTAACTGTAATCAGATTTATTCCAGTGTTTTTTCCCTACAATCAGTCTGAGACAGAATTGCTGGGTCTCACACTTGCCTATTGAATCCAGTTACTGTGTTCTCAAAAAGTTAATAAATTAGAGGTCATCAGTCCTCTGATTGATATTAAATGCTGTCGGATGACACAGAGGGCAAAATGCATTTTACCAACACAGACCTCTAATTGCCCCTTTCCCCCCCCCAGGAAACGTGCACAGAACTCCCCCAGGTCTCTCAGTTATCACCAGTCTGTGGTGAGTGACCAAGCAGGGGTACCAGGGTGATTATGACTAAAAAGCCCATCTGTGCAGCTCTTCCATCACTCCCACACACCAGGGTGACTTTATCCCAGCTGAATGGAAGATTTTTGCAAAATGTAATGCAAATAAGAAACAGACATGCAGTGAGCACAGGGTAGTGTGGCATAAAGCTCTTCCTCTGAGATCTGAACAGTCTGAGTCGGTGTGTTCCAGCCAAGATGCTCCTAAACTGTTTCAGCATGAGGGGATTTTCAATGCTGCTACATAAACAAGAGCAGTGCAGCACATTTACAAAGTGCTTTTGGGGTAACCATGAACACATTAAAGGGAAGAAGTGCACCATATCTTCAGTTTACAGAATTGTGAAACAAGCTGATGGGGGCAGGAGGAGAAAACTGCAATGGGAAGGATTTAGGCTGACTTCCCACGAACCTGCAGAAAATACACAAAATCCCCAAAAGATCTTATTTCCTAATTAACTGACTCAAAATGAAATCATTTTTTCTTTCTCCCAAATGACAGGATTACTTACACAAATTATCAAAATAGCTGAGTTAAGCTCTGAGAAAAAGAATTAGTTTCCTACAGCAGAAGGCTGTTGCTATACATGTTATTTTAATATGCACAACTCAAAAACAGCCAACAGCTTAAAATCACTCTCTCTGGAGAGCAGACTGAAAAAACTCATCTGACACTATTTTGGAGGGATGGTGAAAGGAAAAAAAAATTGGTGATCTAACAGCAGAGCAGAAGAAAAGCCATTCAGCTGTCTGGGAAGCAGAACTCCAGTTTAGACTGGAAAGCACCCAGCTGAAGTCATTCCACTTCCAACTCAGATACGATTTTAAATAATCCTAAAATTCTCATTCTTGAATCAATAAACAGGAGGTAGAATTATTTTTGTGCATTGTCAGAGACATGAATGACACACCAGTGGTAACTACACCATCCACCCAGATGTCTGCAGTACCTGAACCTAAACCACTGCCTCTTTTTAAACCCACATGCTGTACTGTTGGCTCACTGGAACAACAGCAAGCAGAGCTATTCCAGAGGTTTCAACTCAGTGTTAACTGCTCACAGGTCTTAAATCACAGTAATCTTCACAAGGAACATATTTCATTCTGCAGATATTTCAACTAGAGCTCAGCTAAAAAAAAAACAGTAAAAAAAAGCAATATAAAAAGCTTTCTAAGACTGATTTTCTAGGATCACTGTATGATCTGTGCCAGGGTCAGGAGAGCCCACCTCCAATTTTGACTGTGAAGTCCTCAGCCACCATGCAGTTCCTGGCAGCCAGGTCCCTGTGCACGAACTTGTTGGCGTTGAGGTAGGCCATGCCGTCGGCGATCTCGCCCGCCATCTGGATCATCTTCTTCAGCGTCGGCGGCGCCTGCCCGGGGTTGCTCTGAGCAGCACAAGGTCAAACAGTTAACACACCACAGCCACTCTCCTGTGCACACCCTGGCTTCGTGTTCTGCTCCTTTAATTTATCCACACTGGAATTTCTAGATCAAGGGCAAAAGCTGCTGAGCTCATTTTCTACATAGGCTGCTGTGATTTCAGTGGCGAGTGACCTGTGTGTCATCTTTATCCTTCAGACTCTGCATCATATGAGGCAATTTTAGCTGTTAGACTGATGGCCTATGCATGAGAGTTTGCACAGGAGCTAAGATAACAGACATCTACTTTCCAGCAGGGGCAATGGGCAGGACACACAACATGAAACAATTATCCTAACATGTGTTCTTAAATCAGCCAATTTCTGTAACATCTTGATGGGAAAGTAGATCAGACAAGAGACCTAATGCAAATCTGGAAAAGAGGGCTTGGTGGCACAAGAAGGGACCTATTCCATGTGGCACCCTGGGCTGCCTCATGAAAGAGCTGTTGGAGATCACACAGCAGCTCATGTTTTGTCCTTAGACTGAAGGAGAAGGGCAGGAAAGGCTAATTGCCTGCTGCTTCCAACGTGAGGCTGTCTTGTTCAAGATGATTCAAACTGAAGAAATAAACAGCCCCAGCCACTCATGACTCACCTCTGTGTCTGGCCTCAATGATCTCAGGTAACTTTTGAGGTCCCCACGTGTCATCAGCTCCATGATAACCAGTGTAGGCTGGCCCTGAGAAACAACACCAAGCAGCCGAACCTGGCAGAGGAAAAACAAATGTTCAGTACAAGTATACAGGTACAGCTAATTATCATTTATTCACGGTGATACGTAGCCCTGTGGGAAAGGTCTGATTGCAGATTTGGTTCCATTCTCTGACTGGGGTTTCATGACAATATCACAAAGCTGTGCAGAGTTGAAGCTAAAATCCCAAATTCAGTCCCAGAACAGCCTCGTGCCAATGAGCCCCAGAGCTGGTGAATCACAGCCTGGTCACATCTCCAGGACTCACCACATGGTGACAGTTGAACTCCTTCATCACCGAGGCCTCGTTCAGGAACTCGATCCTCTCGCGCATGCTCGCGGACTCGTTGACCGTCTTGATGGCCACCCTGGTCTCTGGCTCATCCTTCACCACTCCCTTGGCTATTCCCTCATACACCATTCCAAAGGAGCCTTGCCCCAGCTCCCGACACATGGTGATCTTCTCCCGGGGCACCTCCCACTCATCAGGAACGTACACTGGGGGAGAGAGAACAGCCCTGATGTTCCACAGTGCTGGGATCCCTGCCTGCTCCATGACAGCAACTGCCCCAACAGTTCTGGGGCTCAAACCCCACACAGAATGCTGAGACCTTGCACCATGTGTGCAAACAGGCCCCTGGGCTGTCCCACACAGAGGCAGGGGGATGGTGCCACACAAATAAATCTGGAAGAAAGGGGGGCTTGAAGCAGTCTCACTATGGTACTGACATACTGAGATAGAAATAAGGCACCTCAAAGCCAAAACCAGGGTGGGAAGAGGCTCAAATCAATGCTTTAGGTTAAATCTTTTCTTGGAATCCTTGCTCTCCTAATTCTCCCAGACAGCATCAAACAGACCTGATCATCTGTATCAGTTTAGTGTCTGCTGTATTCTCTATTAACACTGAGTTTATGGCTAGAGGGAAGCAGACTCTGATCCAGCAGTTCTTTGCATGGCACTATTCTGATCCCTTGCACACACCATTGCACCAGCAAAGGCAGAACTTGCTGCTGCTGCTGCAGGTCTTTGATCTGAGGCAGAAAAGAGCTCTCAGAAGGTGACTGCCAGGAGGCAGGACTGCCTCAGGCAAGAAGACATCCAAGCACTCACTGATGCTGCTGCCTATCAGTCACCCAAGGAGGGGACAGTTGTGTCACATGCTCTGCATGGGTGAAATGACAGGATGAAAACAGAGGATTATAGCATGAACAGTGACAGACCTTTAACCCTAATGGTGTTGCTACAAAAAATAACAGTAAAATAGTCTGCTGCCACTCTGGGTAAACCCATTACTCTCCTGGGGGAGCTTTGGGAATACTATTCCAGCAGGAATTCTACAACAGCAGCACCAAACTAAACTATAAACAGGAAAACTGAGGCCTCAAGGACATTTGTCTGATGCTGTGATTTCTTCAAGTAGTGGGTTTGTTTCAACAGGGCAAAACAGAGCTTAAAAGGGCAAGCATGAATGAAAGACCACAAATTCATTCATTCTTCCTTCATTCCAGTGAAAACATCACTGGATGAGTAGATGTTAATCTGAAAGTGAAACTACTGAATCTGAATTTGCCTCAAGTGGATGAAACTCCAGGAAAACAATTCAAAAACTCCTCAGTTTCAACAGACAAGTGGCATTTATGTATTAGCAATTGTGGATTCCAGAGCTGTCCTAATAAAATAGGAAAAGTGGCTTTACAGCACATCTTTTAGGGTTTCATACCTTTCAAAGTCAGACACCAACAGAACACAGGACAGTAAAAGCATCTCAAGTTAATGTCACACTCACCATCTGAGGCACTGAAGTACTCAGGGTTCACAGAAGCATAAAGTACTCCATTGCCCAGTCTGTCACTGTTCCTGTAGAAATATTGGGGTTTATTTCTTTTATCTTTAAATCTGAGTATATTTCAGACCATCTCTTGTACAGTTTTTCTACTGCTTGCTCAACCACAGAATATTCTTTACTGAACATGGAGTTCTTCAGACAAAGGGACAAGCAGATCTTATCTACCTCACATAATCAATGGGAACACAGTCCAGAATAGCTTGTCAGGAGTTCTGCAGTCTTCTCTATACCAAATCAGCACCAGGAAAACGTAAACACAAGGTACTTCTACCTTTCTTTTAAGAAAATCAATATTTTTATACAACCAGGAGACCTGTGGCTGAGAATGCAGCTTACCATCATCAGCTCTGCTGTGGGAGTGAAGTTTTTTAGCAAAAGACAAAAGTGGGGGATTCCATTCAACTATTTCCTAAGTGTTTCTAATATTTTATTTTAAAACCACACAATGCCACACCTCCCAGCTTTACAGGGGTGATTTTCAGAATAAGACATGAAATAAATGCACTTTGAGAGCTTTTGCAGGAGACAGGCTCGCAGAGAAAATATTTTTGTCTTAGAACATCAGTTTAAACAAGGAAAAATTATCAGGAATTTCACTTAGGAGAGCCTAAGGAAGGCAAAGCAGATATTCTAATCACCAGAGACAAAGCCCTCTCTGGAGAACTTGAGCAGAACTGGTACCACTGTCTGCAGTGCTACCAGTGAATTAGAGCTGGAACTCATGGGATACTCAATGAGCATAATTAATGTGAAAGTAATAAAAAACATCCACAGCTAGAAAGTTGCAAGACTGAACATTTGTACTGCTATTAAGTTCTCGTTATGTATTTCAATGAGATAAAAAAAAAAAAATCACTAGTCACAAAAAACAAACTGAGGGAAACAAATTACCAGAACAGTCCCAGTGACAGCTCTTGGCCAGAATATAATTTTTTAAGTGGATGTAAGACTTTAAAAAACCCTCTGGAATTTGAAAAAAATCAGATTATCCTGAATGGAACTGAGGCAGAAAAGAGCTCTCAGATGCTCTTTTCATGATTTATATTGACCCATATTTCAGTCAAATATTCTGATTATACAGATCCAGTGTGTGCCACCAATGCCTCACTGATATGTTCCTCACAGCCCTCCTCTTCCCAGTCAAACATGTCACTGCAATAAAAACCCTTTTCATATCTCCAGATGCTGCTAACTCTAAACCACCTCCTTTTCCATCCCAACAAGGCAGAATCTATCTCAGCCTCTCAACTCCTCTGAATGGCATTTCTCTTTTTAATCTCTAACTCACTCCACAGGCACAGATTTGAAAATAAACAATTTCCCTCCTGCAGGTTTAAGCACCAGCACATGGAACTCACCTCTTTTTGTTAAAGACATAGAGCATTATCAGCAATCCCCCAAGGATGAGCAGCAGAGCAATAGGGAGCACAATTACCAAGTGCAGGAAGTTTCCATAGTTTGCTGCTGCAACCAACAAGAAAACAATTGTATCAGGGTTTCTATAAAACCTCTGTTAACAAAGAAACATTCAATACCCACTCAGTGCATTTCCATACAGGGAAGAAATCAAAGTTCTCATTTTCTTGTCTGATGTGGAAAAATGCACTCGGAAACCCTCCCTGACTGCAGATGAGTGAAACAAGAAAGCAGACACTGAAAGGCATTAATTTTGTACAGAACAGTGTCTGTCTGGGCTTTGTTTTCACAAGTTATGCTTAAAGGACTTGCATTCCTCAGTGAACAATATCCAATTGTTCACTTGCACATTCACCTTTTTTTCCACCTTTTGTTCACCTTGCAGCTGCTCATGTTCAGAATATACATGCACTGCTCTTTACTTCAAATTGTTCAAAGTTCAGCAACCAGAAAACCAAAAAAAGAGATAAAAGGTGGAGTTGCAGTTTTCTGGGGATATATCAGCTCTACAGCTAAACACAGAATGTCTTAAAGAGGGTCTCTCTGTGGTCACGTTCTTCCAAAATATAAATTACTCCCATTGTCAGGGCCAGCATCACCCTTTCATCAGGACACCTTTTTTATCAAATGTCACTCAGAACAGGTCAACCTGCCAGCCAAAAATCTACACAAATGATTTGTTTCTCCAATTATTTTGCAATTTTAAGCAGGTTTGCCCTGTTGCCACAGGTTTTGTACATGGCAGCTCCTGTTGTTATAGCTAACATCACATTCCCAACATAGCTGCACAGCCCAGGAAGCCACAGCAGGGTGTTCTCCACCCCCAGAGACACCCAAAGCTGCAAGGAAAGGACCACACCTCACATAACCCTCCTGGCTGTCAACACTTGCCAAAAAAATGGACCAGAGAAGAGTTCCCAAAGAGCCATCAGCAAGTCAGAGAAGTGTTCAGAGGCAAGAGGCTCAGATACCCAATCACATCAACATCAGGAATTATTAAAAAGACAATAAACCCCCAATTTGACACAGACTATAAATATTTGTCTTACATTTGGGCTGCACATAGAAAGAGATGGGCTCAGTCCAGGAGCCATTCCCAGCTAAGGAAGTGGCCTGAACTCTGGCAGAATAGTTTCCAGGGTTCAAGTGGGTTAGTTTAGCTCCTCCAAGCTTCTTGTATTCCTGTCTGGAAACACATTCACGCTTCTCCTAGAAGGAAAAAGCAATTTACACACGTTATTATCTTCACATTCTGAAGAAGGCAATATAGCTGCAGGATAAGCTCATTTTTATAACTAAAAGCCCCACCTGATCAGTTTTACTTCAAACACCATAAGGAGATATGTGGAACTTAAGAACTCAAAGGAAATGAAGGAAAGACATGGTGGCAGGTGCTGGGTGTCTGAAATCACAATTTCTGTTTATGCAGCACTGCACAAAAGCATGCTAATAAAGATCCTTTTTGTGTATAAATTACGAGTTATGAGCGGTAATGACAAATCCTCACCTCGCCATGCTGCCCATATTTGATTTCATACATCAGGATCAGCCCATTTGGATTTGCAGGCTCCAACCACTTCAGGTAGACAGTGTTTTCCTCTTTTGCTTCCCATGATACTGTTCCTGGAATGTTATCTGCTCCCTCTGTAAAATATTTACAGGTGATGTGACAACAACACCTATGACTGAAACAGGAACTTCAGCAAGAGTGGAAGAAAATGGAAAGTTCAGAATATTCTTCAGTTGCAGAAGCTCTGCAGCAGGAGCCATTCAATTCCAGGGAACAAACCTCCATTGGCCAAAGGCCTGCTGGAGATTAGCTCAGTCTGAACTACTGGTTCCCAGAAAATCAGTGCAGAGCATACAGCTCCACCAGGCATGGGCCCTGTGTGCCAAAAAACCCCTGGTTATTAGCACCTGATTCTTCCTTCCCAGCCCTCCCCAGCACCAAAACAGTGCAGGGAGCTATTCCCACCAAATGGCTGCAAACAGCTGAAAACACACAACATGTGCCCCACTGACAGCCTTTTCCTAAAACAGTCATAGGAAATCCATCCCCGTTTAAAACAGTCTCAGCAGCAATTCAGGAACTGCTTTATCCCTATTTAGTTCCTAATAATTTTACATGACTTATTAAAAACTTAATAGGACTGTGATGTGTGTTTCAGTCTGGACTGAAAAAATACCACCTTCTCAAAGATACCAGAATAAAACAGTATTGTTTAGCCTTTAATTTTCAGAGCATGTGTTAAAAATCTGAGAACACTTCTTTCCTTTTCCCTGATCTCACAGATTTCCTTATTGCCTTGAAATAAGCAATACTTTTTGCTTTTTTTACTGACACAGCTGGATCTGGATTATGATAGCCTTTCCTTCCAGAAACAAAACAAAATTGCTACCATTCTGCATCCAATATCCCCAGACATCTGCTGGAGTCAGAAGCTCGTTGCTGGATGCATATGAGCTTTCACTAAAATCATCTCTATTCTTCTCAGAAGTACAATCTGCAGAAGTCCCAACGACGAGTACAGCATTCAATGCTTCCTATTTGAAGTAGTCTAGAGGCCAGGGATTGGGCACAAAGAAACACAGTATTCCTCCTGTTCCCAGGCTGGACAAATGCATGGTCATACTGTGACAGAAGAAACATTTGGCAAACATTCCCACCAGCAAAACTCCAACATCTGCAAACAGTTCCGAGTGAACACAGCAAAACCAAACATTAGCAGAGAAACGTTGCTGTGGCTCTATTCAGCACACAGGGAGCTGAGGAACAAAACCTTTCAGCCCACCATGTCTGGGGGTCTCACTTCTATTGCTGGGAAACAGAATCTCTCCTAATTATCCTGGCAGTCAACTTCTCCCTTTCTCCAGCTCCCCAGCAGAGACTCAAGCACATCACTCAGTGCACACAACACGCCAGTCAAGGACACAAAATAAAAAAATCTTTGCAGCACCAATTTATCCTACTGCATGGAATTTTTTTACTATACCCCAATGTAATTCTAGCTGGTAGAGCTTGTCCCCCTGAGCTTGATCTCTGTGAGCATACCTGAGGGCATCGTTCTGGCAAACACGAAGTTGGACGCGCTGCAGCCGAGCGTGTCGGCCTCGTGGTTGCAGCTGTGGATATCGATGCGGTAAAGAGTGAAAGGCTGCAGATGGGAGATCACAGTTCTCTCCTTGCCATCCACCTTGGTCTCAAAGAAGGGATATTCCACCTCACTCTCCTCCGTGTCGGAGGCGTTGGTGAAGTGCTCGGTCCCGGTCGCGTTCCTGCTCCGCGTGGCCAAGGTGGCGTTGGCGATTCGGAACACGTCCCTCCGCTTCCGGTCGGGCCTGAGGGACAGACACAGGTACAGAAAAGGGCTCTTTAGAGAAAATCCACTTCTTCTCCAGAAAATCCACTTTCTTCTCCAGAAAACCGTGCCAAACACCCCAGCGAAACAGGCAACAGCTAATAAAAAAGCTAAATAAAGGAAACCGCAAAACAAGAGGAAAACTTTGTCTAAATCTGAACCGGTCACGTGTCAGCACATCTCATTTCTCTCTCTTTTGGTCAGGAACCAACCAAATCTCTGAAGCTCACACTGCACCCCAAGATCAATGTGCAAACTTCTGACCTCACACAATAAACCAAGCAGCAAAGAACAGCTTCACCGTTACTCAACAAACATCCTGGATTAGTGGTTCATGACAGCGATGCTGACGCTTGAAATAAAAATCAGATGCTAAAGGTTGAAAAGGTTAGGGGGGGGAAAAATTGTTTTGAAGTTTGCTGGATTAGCAAAGGAAGCTGAGCCTACTGAGAGTTAGCTTTGCAGTTGTGATGAAATCAGAATGTATTGCACTGAGAGGAGAAACCTTGGAAGGCCGCTGAAGGCCATGAAGGTTCACCACCACTCGGGTGGTCATCTGTGTACCTCTGCTTCTCTCACCCAAACAAAAGCTCTGCAAAGGAACAATCCTCCTATGTAAGAAAATTCAGCACTAATATTGTGTGGAGGCAAAAGTTCAATGAGCAGCTTTGCCTTACCGGTATCTGGGTGAAATTTAAGCAGAATTAAGAAGCTGAGGATTTACAGCCACACCATTGCTTTCTCAAGCCCAGGGAACTGCTGTAGTGGACAGCCCCAAGTGACAGGACAAGGATCAAGACACTCTGAGAACCACATGGATCAGGTAACCAACACCCTGTGGCCATACACTGGAGCTGTCCCTTGGTCCTGCCCCAGATCTGAGGCTGCTCTGTACAGGAGCACCAACTACACAGGGCAGTCTGGCTTTACTGCTCCTGCCCCTTTGTCTCCAAGGGCTGCAGGAATGCTCATGCCTGGAAAGCAACACCCCAGGGGAGGTAAAGGAAAAAGGTAGAAGAGTCACACTACAAAACCAATTTGGGCTTGAATCCTATCCCTGAAATCACTTCACCAGTGCCCATGGAACACCTGGCCACTGAAAGAGGTACCAAGGGCATGAGGTCCAACAGCTCTACCAGAGAGCAAATTACAAACCAGGAAAATGAGGCCTCCCTCGAACACACAACAGGAGGAAAGATGACTCAACAGGAGAACTTAATTCACTGTCAAATATATCATCTGAGTACATGCAGCCACAGAGCAGCATGCTGCAGAGAGAGCCAAGAACAGGCTCACTCAGTTTTGAAACCTTCTGGCAGAGGCTGGAAGAATTTTTTTCTTTAAGAGCTCAATACAAAAATTTCCAAAATCCCTTTACTACGTAGTGAGTAGTCATTTTGACACTCTAACCACCATGTAAAGCCACATCACAGAAATAAACACAGACAAGAAAGAATTTCCTAAGTTAGCAACAAATTGTTTAAGCAACACACAAGTGAATATCTTGTCGGTTAAGGCAATTTCATAGGACAGAAGCATTTGTGCCTTGTCTACACTGGTATCTATGGAAGTTACTAAACCTATTCACCCTGCTTACAATGTGTATTGATTTACTGCTTTAGCTCAGTGGAAAGAACAAACTTCTCATCAGTAAGTAGTTGGATGCCTAACCCTGAACTGATGAACATTTGCACAGATTCTGTGGTTAAAGCAGTGAAAATAAAAAGTTCATTTTTAATCAACCACAAAAGCATATGCCAATGCAAGAACCCAAAAGGCCTGACTTTTCACTGCTTTTATGGGATGCATGGAGCTTCAAATCTTTGGTGGTAGCTGGGAGTGGAGGGGAGTAGAGCCCTACCTTGTCTTTGGAGAAAAAGATAAAGGAACACAAAACTTGTTGGTGAAAATTACAGTGGTGTCAGGAAGGGAAAATAGCTGCAGGATAACCACAAGGCAAAAGTAATTAAAACATCATGAGATTTGACCTCAGTGCTTTTTGGTCAAGCAGCTTCCTGCATTCATGAAATGCAGAGATAAAGGCAAAAAACAAGCATCCAAGGAAGTAAGGAAAAGTCTAGAGATAAAAACTTGAAAAAGCATTTATTCTATTAAGGGAGAAGGAAAAGAAATGCAAGACAAAAATTAAAAATAACACTAAAAATTCAATCAAACCAAAAACATTTAAAAAAACTTGGGCTATTTAACAGCAAAGCTCACTCTTTCTGTAGGTCATGGCAATTTTAATGTTACTGCTCAGACTACACACAGAGCCTGTCCCATCCTGCTCAGTAGAGAAACAAAAACCTTGAAGAAACTCATTCTCCTCTGGCAGTCAGTGTCTCTTCAAGACTAAGCAGAGTCCTGTTTGAAATCCACCATGGCACTAACACACATGGGGTCATCCAGAAGTTACACAGGAGATTAGATCAGACTTCTTAAACAATCTTCAGTCAAATACTTTCATGCTGTATTACATTCTGCAACTCTTTCATAATAACCTGGACACAGGTAGAACACTGGAAACAAGTACTACTATTGAGGCTTGCACTAACACATTAATTAACTTCTCCCTTGGGAAAGAGAGAAAAAAAAATACATCAAGTAACAAGCTGCTTAGATTTGTCCCATGGAGATGTCTCACCAGCTCATAAACTTTAATTTCCCTGACATACAGTCTCTTAAAAGTTGCTTGGCTATGCAGCTATTGCTGAGCATTGTCCCTCATCTGCTCCTGCTGTTACAAAACACCCTAATGGCAGTAATTTAAGAGAAAAAGACAAGCTTTCAGGAAATTCTCTGTGAACTGATCAGTTTATTTGTTACTGAGTTCAAGGTTCTATGAGTTTTCTTGGAGAGGGGCAGGACTGCAAGAAAATTTGGGAGAAGACAACACATTCTGAATTACAAATGTTTGGGGAAATAGAAAAACTTCCTTTTCAACAGACTTTCAAGTAGTTTAGACTTGACACATGGCTTTCAAAACTCCTCGCTGTGCTATTTCATGAAGTCCAAAATCAGACCTTGTGATTTCCCACGGCTCAGCATTTCCATCATGATCAGACACGGAGGATGCAACTTCCCTGATCTTGGCTGCTGCTTCTCATCATCACTGCACAAAATGCTCAGTGTGACCCAAACACAGCTCAGATAAGATACTTCACACCTCCCAAGGGAGGCAGTATTTAGCTCCTCATTCTTTGGATAAAGCTAAGAAGCATTGCAAATATCAAAGTCTCAACCCCAACAAGTCAATCCAACACATCCTTGAATAAAAGTCCAAAAAATCACAATGGAGAATGATATGAACCAGCATCAATGAGCAGCAATGCCACACTCTTGTCAAACACAAGATTTGACCATGGACTTTCCCTGCCAGGAGGGACAATGAGACAAGGTGCACCACTGAGATCTAACAGTGTATTAAAGACTGCAACACAACATCTGTGCACTGTGTGCCCTGCCCCAGCATCCAATCACCCTCAGTAACAACACCTTACCTGAAAGATAAATTGGAAACTCAAGGACCAAAATCACCAATTAATTCAGTAGAATGTACTCTGTGTTGCAGCACAGAATCATTACAATTCCACTTAACACGTACACAGGTGTTTATGGTGGGAGAGTGGAAATATTTAATACTTCTCTGCAGTGCTGACCCAGGAAACACACAAGCCCTTTGCAATTAGTGCAGTGAGAAAAGGAAACCAATTTCAATTCTGTGAGGCAACTGTGCCCTTAATTTCAAAGATAAACTCAGATTAGGAGCACAAGCACTTAAATGGTTATTTAGAGAAAAATCACATCTGAAACCCTCTGTCTGCCTCATGTTGCTTGTCTCTGAAACCCTTAGAGACAACGAGCTCCTTAAGTGACTCTTGAGTCTCAAAAGAAACCATCACTGAAATCCTTGATCAATACAGGTAAGAACCCTTACTACAGGCTAGAATTGAAAGAAAGAAATGAAAATCGGCAAATAAGAGAAACTGCAAAGTAAGGCTGTGGAATGTCTCACATGAAAGGAAAGGTAATGTTCAGTGTTTTAGGTGTTTCTGTGTGCTGTCATGTCCAGGAAACCTCAGCTCTAGGAAATGTTAAAAGATGAAATTTTCAGCCCTACTTCCAAAGAAGTGTTCAAAGCCCATTACCTGGGGACAAAGATGGAGTTATGAAGGAAGTTCTCAAAGACTTTCCGGTACTCTGCTTCCTCCTTCTCCGCCTGCTTTTCTGCCTCTGTCTTGGGACAAGCACAACAAGGTCCTTTCTCTCCCCCACAGCCCTCTGGCTTGGTGGGCTCAGTGGCTTCTTCTGTATCAATGGTCCCATCAGCATATCTTCTAATTGGGACTTTATCTTGAAAGAAAAGAACAGAGTTGGTTTCTTTCTCTCCAGATCACGGATACAGCAACAATCCCTATTTACCCATTCCCTCTACTGGCTGTTGTTTAGCCCTTGCCAGTGAAGAGCCCTGGCAGGCAGAGTCCCAGGCATTTCCACACAAGAGCCTTTGGTTCTCCTACCTTTGGAGCAGTAATTGTGTCTGTACAGGTAACTGTCCTGAGGCTGCTGCTGCCAGCGCACGATGTAGTAGGAGAGGTTCCCATTGGGAAGAGAGGGAGGATTCCATTTCACAATCAGCTGGGATGAGGAGTTGGATGCTGAAATAACATCCAGGGGAATGGATGGCACTAGAGAAGGAAAAAAAGAAAGAAAAAAGAAAGGTATTTAAATCTAGAGCACTCTACAGTTTATTTCCATGCAAACTTTTGAGTGAATCCCAATGCATTTCTATATTGCAAGGAAAAACACCTCCTTATTTCAAAGAAAGGATTTTCTACTTATGCCAACAGTTAAGGGTTCAACTGCAACCAAGTCCCAACCCAAAGTTGTACTTAAATAATCTTTACAATGGAACAAAGCCTGCAATTCTAACTTCAAGAAGCTCCCATAGCTCCTAATGAAAGTAGTATCTAAAAAACCAGTTTTAATTCAAATTTTAATACTACTTTCATAATAAATGAAACTGCTAGCACTATGCACATCATCTGCATATAAATTTTATTTCTGTATCAACAACAGAACTTGCACAATAATGCACTGATCACACCTGCAGCATTATCAACCTCTCACCCCAGAGCCCAGCATCTCACCTGCAGCATTGGTTCGAATATATATGATTTCACTTTTTGCTCCATGAATATGATGATTTTCCATCATTGTGAGGGTAACAGCCTTGACATAAATGGCATACTGAGTCCAAGGTTTCAACCCTTGCAGCAGAATTCCAGGATTGTTCTCTTTGTTTGGTGGCAGGTCAACATCAACCATGTTCCAGCTATTGGAGCCACACGCATCTTGCCCGTCATACTCTGTCACATTTTTGAATGGTCTGAAATATTCAAAGAAAAAAGTAGTACAAATAGTTATTTTCTTCCAAAACGTGTCATATATGTATAAGAGTACCTCGCTTCAAAGTTGCTCAATGAAACAAAAAAAGCTTACTTGCAGAATATACCAGAAAAAAAAAAAAGCATTTCCAAGCAGTACAAAATTCAGAGTTCAGTTTTAGTCATGAGTAATAAAGCAATATTCTCAAAAAACCTCTAAATTTATCTTGTTTTTTTACTCAAAACAGGCAGTGAAATGCTTCAGACATATTTAGACTTTAAATAAACATATATCAAACAGAAGCAACTCAAAACAGTTGTTGATAGTGGCCAAGCTTTTTACTATAAAGAACCCAGAGTTCCAAGACTGCCTTGATCAGTCCAGAGGGCTTTTTACCCTTTTATTTCCACACAATACAAACACATTTATACAGTTCTACTTTTCAGAAGTTGTAACACTGGTGAAAGAGCATACAAATTCTTGTTATTAATATCTGTACACTTGCCAGCAATGCTTTCATTGTAGAACATCACAATGATCTTTTTCAAGTGATGCTGGACATGAACCATTTGTGCTTCCATGTCCCACATCTTTGTTCCATATATCATTACCAGCATTCCAAACCTCCCTTTCACACCTCCAGAGTACTTGGAGAGTTATTTTTGTGCTCACTTGGGTGGTTTTTTTATTATTTTAAATCTAAGCCATTACAAGGACATTCAAAGGCAGAGGCATCTCCCAAGTAATTTGGATTTCTCCAGTAACTGCCACACACCTTCATTATCAAGAGATACTACTGCAGGAAATGACCAAAGCTGGATAATCCAAATAACCCCAAACCCTGAGCAGATAATTCATCCAGGTGGCAGGGCAAACTCCTGACCTGGGATGCTCTCTAGTCGATTCTTTGACTAGAGAAAGCAAGTATCTCAGTAAACATGGTGACTTAGGAGCAGCTCCAAATCACACCCCTGAGAAGAGCCAAGCCATCCACCTTTCTCTTTTTTCAAATTTGAAACCTCCCGATGAATTTGCAATCCATTTGTAGGACTCATTCAAACCAATCCTCTTTTCAAAGGAGGCTTGTGCTCCACCAAGAAAAGAATCAGAACAAAAGCAGGACTTGAGAATGAAATACACAAACTGGATGAGCCATCCTGCAGTAGGAACAGAATCTTCTGCCCTCCCTTGGACTGCCCTGGTTCATCTCTGATGACATCTACTTACGCCTCTTTGTAGTAAACAGTGAAGCTGATGAGGTCTCTGTAATCTGGAGGGCGATACCGCTCCCACGTCAGCTTAATCCGATTCTTGAGTGTCGTGTTGGAAACAAAATGCAGAATTTTGCTTTCACCTGCAGTGCAAAAGGACAGGATATGCCAGAGTTGGTATCACATCACCTTTCAGTGTTTTTTTGTTTCTTGGATATCAGTTTTAGCTAATGAGCCTTTCCAGTAGCACCTATGACACGACAGGATACCAACAGCCTTTTGTCTCTGTAGAGCTTCCTCTTTCCTCCTACTACATTTGAGAGCTTAAGGGTAAGCACTGACCTTGGCAATCAGTTTAAAAAATGCTTGAGCCACTTGTTATTAATTTTTTTTGAAGCAGATTTTCTTTAATGCATCATCAGAAAGCTCTTGAAAACTACTTCAGAGTCTCCCTGAGGGAGGAATGGAAGCCCTGTTTATCCATAGGACTGGTTTTGGAAGCACTGAATTCATCATCTGGCTCCAAAGCACGCGCGGAGCAGTCACCGGCCTCTGTGTGCTCACTCTCCAGGACAACTTTTGACAACTACCATTTGTTTTTCTGGAGACTGAACAACATGGAAAAGACAAAGGAGTTTACATTCCCATTCATCAGAGGCTGGACCAAGAACTCCAAAACTCAGTTCATATACGGCACAACCATTTGATGGCAGCAGCTTCCAGCTACTCTTCTGAACAGACCTGGATGGAAGCCCACAGCTTTGAAATTAATGGCTTCCCACTACCAACTCACTGAGCTTTCCAACCCAAAACAAAATAGCATTTTAAAAACTTAATTCTTGGATGAAGAAATTGTGTTCTGTCAACTGTGAGCTGGTTTCTAATGTTCCATAGAAGCTCTGAAAATAAAGAGGTTTTCACCCTCGTGTACACTGGCACTGTTGGTGCTATCTTTGCAAAGGCAGTTGAGCTTTTGTTGATTCTTTTGCCCTTCTCAGAGTCAGAAAGCTTTCTGTGCTGGTTTCTTAAAAAAGCAGGCAGCGGCTGGCACTGGCCTCAGTGGTAGTAAGGCCTGGCTGTGTGTCTGTAACTCCTCCAGGACTGCAAGGCTTTGCTCTATTGAACGTGCAAAGAATGGAGGGTGCTTACAACAAGGATCTGGGCCATCTGCGTGTCTGCATTGCGCCCAAAGAGACATTCAGCAGACTACGTGTCCTAGTTTTGTAAGCACCATCCACAACAAGGGGACTTGACTTATACACAAGATCCATTTTAGTTTACTCAGCTCCAAAAACACCACAAAGCGACCAAGGGAAAAAAGCATTGCCAGTTTTAAGGGTTTGAGGTGAAACTTGTAGGCATTCTTAATTCCTAGAAGAGAGATTGCTTTTAAACGTGCTGTTACACCTGGAGACCTGATGTGCAAACCACCAAAGCCAAGAGAGGACTTTCCAATAACTCTGACCATTGCAGAATCCAAAATAAATGCAGATACACTCAGGCTTAAGAATACTGCAGAACAGTAAAAAGCGTTCTGAATTCAAAAGCAAGTAATTTAAAAACAAAGCAGAGCAAAATAAGTTTGAAACAAGCATTTCTAGCAATCAGGTACAATATTTGGAAGGAGCTTAAATGCAGCTGAATGTAACAGAAACGGTTTGCTTTGGTGTCTATGGAATGTTATTCAGCTGCTTCCTTAGCATCAAGAAAGAATAAGTATCAGAGAAAGGAAAACCCCTATAATGATGCACAGTTACAAAGGAGACTGAGAAATTGCTCCTTGTTGGATACACGAAACTACTGGATTTCATTTCTCATTTCCCAGATTGTTATCTGCTGCTGCAGTCACAAAACAGGGCATTTGGGAAGAAGTCATCTCCTACAAGTGGGTTTTACAGATGAGATAGGGACTGTGTAACCACCTCATTTTCCACTCATGTAAAGGTACCTTCACAGCTACAGTTTAAAGCCTGAACAAGAAGAAGGGCTGAAATCCTCCTAAACTCTAAATATTGCACTGGTCAGCAACAGGTCAGCGTGTTGGGTTTATTCTTGTGACACCCTCCTGTGCAGTTGGCATTGAGATTTTTTTGTTTGTTTACTTACAAGAGGCTCTCTCCCCATTGTTCCTTGGATTTATATCTCCTTTGCTCTGTCGTCCCTTGGTTCCTGAAACCTCCTCCATACGGTAAATCTCAGAAACACACAGTTTAGGATTAAATGCAAAGTACATCTTCCCCTCACTGATTGTCAAGTTATGATGGTTCCAGTCCCACAGCTGCTGAAGATTGTGGTTGTCAAGCACATAGAAGGAGTAATTCCTAGAAGAAAATTTTTGAAGAAAAAATAGTTTAATTCACAGCTCATTCCAACGAAGAATACCTTACTATAAGAAAACTTTGAAATACTGTGTTTGCTCCTCTTACTTTGAACTGATGTTCAGCAAAGGGCTTTCTTCTCTCCCATGGAGCAAGTTAACCCTGACTGTCTAGGGGGTAAGGAAATGAGTGTGACACAGGACTCCAAAGGTGACACCACACCATCTACACCCCACTCCAACGTGTTTTAAGAGTTGTATAGGAGCTGCTATGAGGAATATATAAGTTCAAGTCCTCTGAACAGCAGGTCTGTTCAGATTTTCCATTTGGTGGCAAATGGGAAGCAGTAACCTTAGATACTTTATGGAAAGAAAAGCCTTCTGGAGTTCTAACAATAAAGCAGTCATTAACACAGCTCTTGTTTATGTTTACAAAAGCAAATCTAAAAGTTTGCATAGTGAGGTTTCCTTGCCTTTCTGTTCTACCTCTTGGCCCAATAAAGATTTCCTACATTGTGCCAAGTACAGCTGCACCTGTACATCAAAACCCAACAGCAAACAGTTGTACTGACTGCACAGGATCCACACTTCAGAGCACAGAACTAAACACAGGCAGCTGTGCTGAGCCCACTCCCTAAGCACAGCCCTGGAATAACATGCACATCCTTTATTTCCACAGATACTGTATACAAAGCTGTATGTAAAAGGCCTATTAAATATTATGAAAGCCCTATTAAATATTATGAAGAAATTCCTGGTACTACTCAATTTGGCTGAATTGGGAAAAAAAGCACACATGCAACAGAAGCAAGATTGTAGGCTCTACATCAGCTGCAAGACAACACCTGCAAGGACACTGATATTTGGGATAGCAGGGACAGGAATGCACCACTGGGAAATGAGATAAAGGTCTGTGTAGCTGATGAACCTAAATCAAGATAACCTGCCATGGCAGCATTTATTTCACTCTGCTGGGAAGTTCCTCCATCATTAACTACAGCAACACAAAATCCACTATGAACACAATGAAGCCCGTCTTACACTGCTGAGCCCTTGTGAACAGGGCTACACTGGGCTTTCTACAAACCCTTCTAACTACAGAGTTTCTGCAGGGAAATGTGGCAAACAAACCATAGGGCTCATAAAAAGCTGTCATATTATTCATTTATGGTTTTCCATCAATTATTTCATTTAAAATTTAGCATTACGTCCTCCCTCACTCAATCGGAAACAAAAACTTTGTATTTGGCTCCAATCTGCACAGATTTGCCATTTCTTGTAATGCAGAGCATATTTTCAGAATAATGTGAAAGACAAGTTGTTTTTCTTATTTCCATCTGTCACCTAATTACCCAGGACTTGATTTCTAATGAAGTTGCTATACCTGGTACCACTTCACACAGATGCTGAGAAGAATGTGCTCAGTTAACAAGAGAGCAGAGACATGTTTGTGCTTTAAATGCTTTCTGCCAGTAAGAGAACAAGGATGTTGAACTGCCTGTGGGATTTGACAGACATCACCAAACCTTGTGTGGATTTGAAAGTACTGCACCTTACTAAAGTTCAGTGTTTTCTTGCCTTGGCTAAAAAGCTAAATATATGAGCTTCTGAAATCTCCACACAAACCCAGCCTCACACCTCAGTGTACAAACTACCCAACTCACTTTTTCAAACTTCACTCACACACAGGCAGCTGAGAAACCCCCCCCAAAATCAGCACTGAGCTGAGGAGCATCCCCATGGGAGCCTGCACTGCAGGCAGGTGTCACCACAGGTCTGGAGGGTGTCATTTATTCCCCACCCACCCTCAGCACAGGGTGCCTGCTCTGCTGGAATGCTGTGGTTAGATCAGGCCTTGCTGCTCTCCTGAAGACTGTCTGGATTCACCACACCCTGACAACAACGATCCCAGGAAAACAAGCCGTGAATTCCTCAGTGAGGAACCACACAACAGCTAGAGATCCTGTTCACACCTTCCAACAGGCCTGACAGCTGATGCCTCTGCCTCAAAATGGTGTAGAAAACAGGGGGGAGGTTGTTTGCATTTTCTAGGCTGTCCCCCAGTTTGCTGCAGAGGTTGAAACACAACATCAGAGCAGGCCAGTGCCCCAGCTGAAACTCCTTCTCAGTCATCATCTCCCCACTTGCTCCTGAAGGCCACACACTGCTCATTTTCCAGTACCCAACCTGGGATGCTCTGGGATGTGCAGCCCACACCATCCCTGCACACAGCAGGGAACACAGACCCCAGCAGAGGATGGAGGGGCCTGGCAGAGTCAGCACCAGATGGGAGAACAAAACCCTGAAACAGACACTGAGACCGCTGTGGCACATCCCCATCTCAGTTTCTCTACCTGCAAGGAGAAATTACTTTCTTGCTGTGGAAGCATGATCTCTACAAACATGGTTTTCAAAAGAGGCAATGAAAACTCGACAGACAAACAAAGCAGATTCCCTCTAAACCTTCCACCTTCCATGATAACCAAGGCAAGCAACAGCAACTGAATAAGGAACAAAGCATCTGAAGTGCTGTTTTGTCAGTCCAGTTCAATAAATAAAAGGACAGTGGCTGTGGGGTCAGTCATGAAATGAGCTACAATCATAATGGGCCTTAAGTTACCCTCTCCCTCACCCCTCAAGGCACTGCTGGCACAAACAGCTCTTGTTCCAGCAGCCCACCCACTGCTTTCCAGGTTAAGATCCCACTCCCTGTTGTTCACAGCTCTGCCCAAGTAATTGTTCAGGCTCAGTCCTTCTTCGTCAGGTGCCTACTTCCACCTAAGTATTTTTGGACATGTTATTTAGACTGTGGTAATGCCTAAATTATGCCAGGCATCTTCCGAGCAAAGAGGCTGCCCCTGCCCCTTAGTATGTAACTGCAGTCATTTCCTAACACAGGAATTCTAGCACAAGCAGCTCTTTACTATAGATCTGGTTTACCTCCCCACTCAGCCCCATTTTCTTCTTTAAAGCTGCACCTATTTACTTCTCTGTTTGGACATTCACCACACCTCAGCATCACACACCCTTGCAGGGATAAAATCTTTTGCCTTGACTAACTTTTACCATCATAGGAAAACAGGAGTTATGTGCAGCAATAAGTATCACATGGTGAGTAATTATAGCAGCAATATAATCCACAGCAAACATTTCAAGGGATCAACTTTTCCTGACCAGTCTTTTGCATGCTCAGTAGATAATCCATGTAATGCTAACATTTCAGGGAGTTGCAAACAATTGCAACTTGCACTGTTTTTCACTTCCAGTTGCATTCCCTGGCCAGTAAAATTCTTATTTCCTTTCAGCTGACTTCTCCATAAAATTCTTCTAAAACCCAACAGTAAAGAACTACAAAGAAATCAAATTGTTTCTGAAGACGCTCTTTTGTCACAGAGAGCAAAAAGAACAAACAAAACTGCTTTATTGATGTAAAGAATCTACCCAGAAAAACCTAAAGTGAAAAGCAACAGCAAAGGTACCATAAAATACTTGTCACATACTCAATTTAACATGCTGATTTGGACAGCAATGCAAATGAGCAATGCTGTGCAGAGGTGTTCATGAGGAGAAAAACCCTGCACATTAGTGCAAGAGCAGAGTCCATAAATGAAAGTAAATGGGTTTAAGGAGACTTATTCTCCACAGCTTTCTATGAAAGTGAAATTGCAGTCACAAATATCTGAACACTTACCCATCCACCTGCTCCTCTCCCAGAATGTACCGCAGGTTCTTGAGGAAAGACAGGGAGACCAAGGCATGGGAATGCCGAATCTTCACGTACCCCGTTACTGTCTCTATCAGACCCATAAAATTCTCCAGTTCTGAGGCAATGTTATCTACAGTGAGAAAATGATAACCATTATTGTAACAGAATTCACAGCTTTGACTATTATGAATATTCTGCTTTGTCCAGCAGTAGCTCAGTAAAAGATAATGTTTGTACTTGCTGCTTTTGAAAATGAGAGACACTGGTTTTCCTCCCCCAGAACAGCTGCCTGTGCAGCCAGATGGTTGAAGGGCAAAATAAAGCCACAGAGTAACAGTGGGAAACCAGGCTTGCTTTTCCATACTGGAACACCTGATTTTTCCATGGGCATTGCCCTCTGAAGCCAGCACCAAATGGTGAGCCAGCATTCTGGCAGGGATGAAAAGACCCTTGTGTAAATGCACACACCATGAGATGGAATTGCTCTTTGGGTATGGAGCAAAGGTCAGGCAGAAAACTCCACTGGAAAACAGAATAAGACTGAAGATGAAGAGGAGAGGGTATGTTCCTGGTCTGCTCTAGGTCACAGAGCATTGCTTTCCATGACCTGAAAAGCTACAAAACTGAACCAGTTGATGAAATAACAAAGATAAAACCATTAGGAAGTCCTCCTGCCATGGGAGCATGTTCCAGATAACTCACTTTCCCATACCAAATAATCAGATGCTCTTTAGCACTCTAAAATAATGGTTTGATAAAATAAAAAAAAAAAAAACCATCCACACGCTTGCCCCAGCTAACTGGAACATGTCCCCTAAGGGAAGATTGAACCTGTAGCAGTGGGACCACAAATTAAAAATCCACATGCTGCTGTAACTAAACCCTGGAACTTTCATTCAGCATGAGGCAGGGAATCAAACAGATCCCAATCTTTCAATCCTATTCATGAAACTAAAAGGGACCTTCCATAGGGACATACAAGTCCAATAAAAACTAACAGCAATTTTTACTCTGCTTTTAGGAGCTCATCAACTGTCAACACCTCCCTGGCTGATGAATCACTGCTCTGACAAATTTAATCCATTGCTTGCTCAAGACATGTGACAGAAGTGGCCAGCTCACTAATGCTGACCATCCAGCAGCACAGTGCTAGGCTTTATAAGAGCTCTCAGCACTCTGGATTCCCTGTTCTAGCAAAATACCACACCTTGCCTTAAAAAGTGAGGCTCTGCAGTCTTACAATGCCATGTGACAAGTTATTTACCTACCCAGATGCAAGGATTTTCAACTTTTCCACCTTCTTGGGCCTTTATTACTCCTTTGGGACCACTGCTCATCTAACTGCCTAATCCTGGTTCCTTGTCCTGCCAAAAAACCCTAACAAAAATACCAGCTTTCCCTGGGAGCTGCATACCCATTCCACCCACGTGGGGCAGGACAGTGCTGCAGAGGGCCAAATCAAACAGGAGCACTGCTCTGGGCCTGGAAAGCAAACAGCTTGCTGAGTTTTTAATGTTCTTATCATCACGCTGACGACAGAAGGAAAAATGTGAAAAGCAGCCTTATCAGGGTTCCGAAAGAAGGGCGATCACTTACTGCCACGGCGGATGTTGATCAGCAGATTTCCCTTGAGAATTGTGCAGCCCTGCAACATTTGTGCTGATGTGACTGAGTCAATGGTCTTTGTTTTCCCATCCTCACAAATTTTGGGGCAAGGCCCCTCACAAGGGCTGCAGAACATGCTGTGAGGAAAGAGAAGGATATTGAAAATAAACAGTGATATGCAAACTCCGAGTCTACAGACTGCTCTGAGTTGAATTTTGGAAGTTATTTCCCTCTAAAGCTTTGGCAAATCCTCCAGGCCAGAATGAAAGCTGCCATGCTTGTTCAGGATACACTTGCCGGCTGCACTCCAGAGAAGCTTGAGCACTGTACCTCATACAGTGACTGAATGGAACCATACCCACAGTCTGACAGCTTCTGGAAGGCTCTGTGGTCCTTCTAAAGTCAAAGGCACTTCAGGTAAAACCCAGTGCCCTTACAACTGTGCATTTACTCCAACTGAATTGTTCCCAGGAACCCCTCTTCTCCCATTTATAAAGACAGCCTCAGAGTGCAGGGAGGTTTCATACTAATCCAGGCCAACCTCACAAAATAGGCCAGCCAAGAACTGGAGATGGGAAAACACTGTTCACATTCTTATAAAGTTGTCTGTGTCCATGTCCATAAACCAATATTTAAAGCTCTGCACTAGGGAATTCCATGCTCCTGGCCATTTAACTCAGAAAGACAACTGTGGGGACACACAGGCAGGAGGGATGAGGAGAAAGTGAGCAGTACTTAAGTTGTACTTCTTACAGCTTAAGAGGCATTAAAGCAGAAAGTTTAAGGAAACAGAAGATTGTGTCTTGATGCAAGGACAACTAATTGGCAACAGAAATTGGGAGAGGAAGGCCAGAAGTCTAAGCAGGTTCAAAATGGGTGATACAGATGGAAACATCAAGAAACACACATCCCCAAACACAGAGAAACCAGACTGCCAGAAGCTGGGAGGCAACGCTGAAACACAAGCTCATTTCTCCTTACACTCACAGGCACTCAGAAGCATTTTTAGCAGCCAAACTCAAGCAACAAGAACTCAGGGCAGAGCAGCCTTTGGCTGCACGAGCTTTTTAAATGCTTCATGTTTTTTCCTACGTATTCATCTCAAAGTTGGACACTTCATGTGTGCACAACACAGGCCCTCTGATCACTCTTCCTAGTACATGTCTTTCCTCATTGAAGGTAATTTTTATTTTCCAATTTATTCTAGCATTTTACTTAGTATTTCACAATTACTTACTCCACCTAGTATCACTTTAGAGAGGAAAAATAAAAATTAAAAAAACCCAAACCCAGCTCCAAAGACAAAGGATTCTGCTGACAACACTGATGGACAGAGGCTTACTATTTATTTTTTTAAAAGAAAGTGAACCCACTTTCCTCTGAGGCTTAAAGAAACATGTAAATTGATAACAGTTTTCCATGCATAAACCATAACAGAAAGAAGCTCCTTTTCTAAACTAGTAAGCTCCTATTTCAAAATCCTGCTCTTTAACATGCCACAAACCACTAAAAGCTGCAGACACAAGAAAGAGGATTCAACTAAATGTACAAAGAATGCTGGAAATGCTTTCCATTTGCAACTATTTGTTAACAGCACCTCTGGGGAACAGAACATTCACTAGCCTTGAGTTACAGCTCCTTTCAATCTCTGCAGAGAGCACAACACCGAGATAAGACAGGATGGCCGCGCACTCCAGCGTAAGCGGCTCAAACAGCTGCTACTACAAGCTCCAGGAGATAACAAAAGCTGCATTTCTCAGGTGAATATCTGGATTTGGGCAAAGGCTGTGCTAAGTTGCTTGTATCCAAATGCCAACTGGAGACTGCCTGGAACAGATGGATGACATGCACACGGAGACACACAACTGCTGCATCACCACAATCACCTTTCCAGGAAACACAGCAGCCTACAAAGATGTCTTTTAGCATAATACTGAAGTACTACAAATTTTAGAATACTGACTGTCCTTTACTGCAAGTCTGTGATTTCCAAGGGACAGTAGTCAATGAAGGCTGCTTGCTTAAACCACTGGAAATTACAAAAATCACAAGCAAACATTGCTCCCAACTGTTAGAATTAAGTAACAGGAGGAGAGTGACACTCGTCCAAGAAATTATTCTGTGCGATACCGTTGGCCGCTGCATTATTTTTGTCACCATCTATATGATTACTTCCTTCTAAAACACCATTGTTATCTCCTGGAAATAGTGAAAAAAGGAAATTAAATTAAATACACTAAAAAATACACATGTCTAAAATGCAGGCACACAAAGCAAATAATATGCAAGGCAAGATAACTCCTATGGTTTGTTCTGTGTGATAATGGTCATCAGCCAACTCCAACCTTGGGCTTCACTTTGTTCTTGGGCTTCACTTTTGCTTTGTTACTCTTGACTTGAAGACCTGGTTCTGCATGGCATGACCTCCTCCAGCCCTTTGAGGAACCTGAGCCCACTGAGGCTGCACAGGACCGCACACACCCATCAGGGGGATTCCTCATGGAAGGGTCTAAGTCAGCTTTTATTGGGGAGTTGCGTAATCCCCCACTAAAATTCCTGCTCCTACATCCTCCCCCCCTACCCCAAGTAATTTACACCCCAGCTGCCCTGAACAGGGAGTGGCACACCCGCAGAGGACAAGCAGGCAGAAGCTGCGTTACCTTTGGCTCCCGTTGCGGATGAAGCCCGAGGGACACTCGGCCATGCACTCGTCATTGTGAATCACAAACTTCTCGTACTCGCTGGCGTCCGTGGCGGGGACTTTGGAGCAGAACTCCCTGGTGACACAGCGCCAGCCCTCGAACTTGTAGGTGTTGGGGGGGCAGGTGGGCAGGCACACGCCCTCGTAGTAGTAGTTGCGGCAGGCCACGCACGCTGTGTTGTTGTCGGGCGCCGTGCAGCTCCCCAGGCACTCGGGGTGGCAACACTCGTTTTGGTCTGTGCAGGCTCGCTTCCCGCACGAGCTGGGGCACACTGCAGGACACAAAGCAAGGCAGCGTGAGCATCACCTGTCAAGGTGGGTGGCACTAGAGAAGAAACTCTGCTCTGTGAAACTCCACGGCGATTCATTCCCTGCGCTCTAGAGCGTCTCGGAAAAGAAACCAAACCCACTATTGTAAAAAAATTCTGGTTTTCTCAGCTTTAGTTGCCTGAAAGTATCTTTTTCTCAGATCAAATTTATGACATGAACCAAGTAAGTAATAAAGAAAACTGCTGAAAGCAAGATCAACATAAGGATAATGGAAACAGGCAGTACTGGAACCTTTTCCATAGCCCTAGTATTATGGACAAATTTTTTTTTTGGCATGCTGACTTATTGTCTTTCTAAGCATTTCTTGCCTTTCCTATCTGTACTTAAAATTGGTCTTCTATTGGCAAGAAAACAAGCTTCCTTCAAAACAACTTAATTACACTTGTAGAAGGAAGCACTGCTCTGTGCAGCACACATGGTTGGGCTGACCCCAGTGTAGCATCCCAATGTTGCTTATGTGTGCAAAATGCGGTTTAATAAAGTATCAAATCATCATCCACATCAAATACCGAGGAATTATGGAGCTACTATTTTCCTGTGAAGAGCATAACAGAATTCTGCCTTATCCTCAAATTCTGGGTTCACAGAACAAAAATATGAAAGGGAGGGGAAAAAAAAAGGGGTGCAAAAAAGAAAAAAAAGGGGTGCAAAAATTTATGGAGACATTTGTTTTATGTGAAAGCATTTCAGCTTGGAAGACACGAACAAAGAGCAGAATCCTCAGCAGCCGAGCTCACCACTGCTAGATCAAAAGAAGTGGCAGCATTATATTTATGTAACAACAGCATTTTGATTACAGCACTCTATGGCCTTTTAGCCACACGAGCCGTGTGCCAGAGGCTCTGGCAACACACAGATTGCAAATCTGGTTTGCATTAAGTAGCTGCTTGCCACTTTCTAACTTAGCTAAAACACTGTATCAGTAACAACAGCAGAAAACTGGATTTCAGTGGTGCCACTACAGAGAGATCCAAGTGAAGCAACACAGACATTTAAACTGAATGATTTCAGCAGAAAGCAGACAATCAGAAGAGAAGTTAACATCCCAAAAATGACCACTGAAGCAGCTGATGAAACTCCACACAAGTTCTTCATTGTGATTTATCTCTCAGTTTGCAGCTACAGTGTTGTTTTAATGCAGGACTAAACACCCTAAAATTTTAATGGCCTCTTCTTCCCATAAAGTCCAGGCTCTCCAGTTTTTACAGTCCCAATTCAGCAGAACTCCACCATCTTGACACAGGACAAAACGCTCAAGACTGCTATTAAGCAATAATAATAACAGTAATAACAACAACAATTCCCCCACAAAACCAAACCAAAACTCACAAAAACCCCCACTGCTCAGAGCTCTGCATCCAGGATGTTAACACCTTACACTGACTTTTGATAATAAAAGAGCATTTTCTGACAGCTTTAAGTAGTGCCCACCTTGAAAAGGACTTGCCAAAATGCCATTGAAGAACTCTGCATTTCTTGTCAGAAGGATTCTGTATTGACTCTGATTAATTTTAATCACCTTGTTTTGAAATAGATGGAGGGGGGAGACTGTGAGAACAAGGAGGTGGGACCATGAGCACTGCTGGTACCTGCTCAGGTACCTCAACTATTACATGAAAACCAAATTGAGAAAATTTTCGCAGAGCCTGTAAGACTACAGAGAGCAGGAATGCAGAGGCAATCACTGCTAAATAATTCACTGCCTGAAGATGCTGGATGATTTTTTTCTCTTGAAAAGGAAACAAACCATATACACCAAACCCATATACCAAAACAAAACACGTGTGCAGGTGTGTATTCTCTTTTTGACTGTAATCTGCACCAGTGCAAAAGAAGTCTGCCCAGATGCCACCTTAGTAAGGCATCACAAATTGCCTTTCACCTTAAGGTACACAGGACTTGCATCTGGCACTACTGAGGGATTAAATAAAAAAAATAAATCAGTGTGTCTTGCTAGCAGATGGACTGCTGTGCTGAGTGGGTGCCAGAACTCAGATTTCATGTGGTAGCTACATTTCCAGTTCAAAGCCCTACTAAAAAAAACACACACACCCCACCCCATGCCTCCACAAAGTTCATTACTGGATGTATTGATTAAATACATTATTTCTTTGTTTTCATCTGAACAATTTGCTGGAAAACAAACACTGCTGTACTAAGTATTGGGATAAACATAGATTAAGTTTATTTCATTCCTGGGAAAGACTCCTGTATTCCCTTAATGCCTCTGCCATTCATGAGCAGTCTGCTATAAAAATAGGATTCCCTGCATCTCCTGCTAAATCTGCTGACTCTGGTCTATGGAAATATAAATTGGAACACAGAAGGATACACAAGTTCACATGAAAAAAGCAATCAGTGAAACAGGTTTTCAAAACTATAGTAATATTTTAATCACAACCATTTTAACGTGAACTCTTGAAAACTTTATAAAGATAATTTTTTAAAAGCTCAGCAGCCTCCCTTTTTCCTCAGTCCTGTTTTCTGCTTGTTCTTGCTAACGTTGGCAGAGTTTTCAGCCTGGAGACAATACGGGTATCCTGTTTCTTTGAAGAGGCAGAACAAGAACTTCTGTGTGTGTGTGTAGGACATATTATCAACAACAAAAAAGCCTTATCTGCCTTACACGCCAGCTCCCTCAGATATCCCTGTTCTAAAAACCTTACTAAACAATACTGGCTGACCTCACAGTCCAGACCCATCTATCCTCCCCCCACCCTCCCAAACTGTGCTCCTTGGTCTCCTAGATTTGCACCAAAACATGTAAAACGCAGGTTCCAAATACTCTGGCCAAAAAAGTGCCCTGCAATACACTCAGTAACTTGTTGACTTTATTCTGCAAGAACATGAGAGACACAAACAGGAGCAAAAAGCGGGCTGACATTTGGGGACAGAACTTATCAGCCAGGTACAACAGTGTCTCAGAACATGAAGGCTGATGACGAATACAAAAAAAAAAAACAATCCCCTGAACAAATCCTTGCTGACAAGCCCAAGGGCAAAAAATGCTTAATTGTCATCACATGGAGATACCAAAATAATGGAAAATTTCAGAGACCTTGGAGGGCAGCCATGGGAGGAGGAAGTCAAAGCAAGATGAGGAGAAGGGCAGACCCTTAAGTACTTTAATAAAGAGATTATGGAGGCCTGACTAGACCAGCACCCAAGTACATTTAGGGAGTGAAAGAGGTGTCAGATCTTCAGAGAAAGACAGTACAAGGCTATCAATAGCCACAAATCCAATTTCCCAGAGCAAAACCAACAACAGAACTTTCACTGTCCATCCGCATTTCACCTTCTCTCTGATTTCTTCAGAGTTTTCCCTGCCAACAAATTATTTTCCAAATACTATTAAGATACTATGATCACTGATAAAGAAGAAAAAAGGCAAAATTTTTAATTCCATGATGCCTGCTTACTGAGCAAACTAGATTCAGACCTGACATACATCAAGGGAACACCTTAAAACTAAATGCCAGAAACATCTTAGAAACACAAGGAGCCCCAAGAGAATCTGACTCAGAGACTCATTATCCTCAATTAAAACCCCCAAGATGCTAAACCAGAACTGCAAACACAAAGCAAGGTTTGGAAATCCTCAAACACAGCTCTGGTGGAGGGGGGAGGAAATTAAAAAGCAAGCAACAAATCATCTGCCTGTATTTACAAGAGTTCCCTTTTGGACAGGCTGAGGCTGAGGAGGTGGCAGTAAGTTTGTCTGACATCTAATCCCTGCCTGCTATGCGGAGCGCGCACCACGCCAGGGCTCGCCGCAAACGCCCCGCGTTGACATCATGGCTATCGCGCAGTTCGGGCAGACAAAGTGTTCTTATCATCTCCAAGACGCCATGACTTCAGCGATGCTGGAGCAGAAAAATCAGGTGAATAAACAATCAGTCACAGGGAGTGAAAATGCAGCCAGAGGAGGAAGACTCCTGGCAAGCAGAGGCGCCGGACTCGGCCAAGGATGGCACCGCGCCAGTCACATGCGGGCGAGCAAAAGGTTGCCAAGTGTGGGATAAATATTTTTTAAAGATTCTTTCTCTCCTTGTAAAAAGATACTTGATCTTTCTTTGGTTTTTGGTTTGGTTTTTTTTGTTTTTGTATACTCTTTCTGGCTTTTTTAGAGCATCCTTCAGATAAAATAAATGTTTCAGAAAAAAAAAATGGGAGGGAAAAACGCACCTCGTTTTGAGCAGAAACCAGAAGAGGAAGGGAGTGTTTTCTCCTAGCCAACTACTGAAAAAAATTAGCTGTCTAAATTTATCCACAAAGACAGAAAAATACAGTCACTTTTGGAATGTTAATCCTTCTACATGACAGGATTTTAAAAATATTGCATTTTAATGGACTAAACTTTGGTACGGCCTTTCAAACAGCTGACTTTAAATGCTCAAACAGCCTATACAAGACCTGATTTCTTTTGCCCAATATTCTGTGAGAATAGAGAGACTGGAGAGACATTACTCAGAAAATCCATTTCCAGTGATTCATGGTCAGGGCTGGAATCAAAAAGTACAGAATAAAAGGAAATACACATATTAAATACATGCAGTAGAGTGTTCTGATCACAGAAATATGGGCAAAAGTCATCTCCAAGGCACTGAAGAGGCCGCTCAGAGCAGTTGTGTAAATCATTATATTACCACAGAAACAACCATTAGCAGCTTATCAACAATGGTGTAGTTTTTTCTCATTTCTTTTCCCCCATCTCTAAAACTCATTATCTCATAGTCAGTGAAATCTTGCAGGAAAAAAACGCTGCCATGTTGAACCACTTTCTAAAAGTTAAGGCAAAAAGTCTGGCAGCTTTTGACATCAACTGCAAGATCTCAAAAGTTCAGTTCAATCCAGCACTGATCTAGGACCTGAAAGAGATTGTATCCTCCTTTCAAACCTCCAATATGTAGAGTCATGCCCACCAGCAAAAAACTTGGATATA